CTCCGTCCCCGCCCAACTGACAAGAAATTCAGCTGCAGGCCCTGCGGACATCTTGGACCTCTGCGGGCCCAATTCTCTGGTGCGCTTGGCAAGGGCCGAGGAAAAAGACACGACGACACTCTCAGACTCCAGCTCTTCCCTTGTGGCCTCCCCTTGCTGAATCGACTGGCTCCTAGTTTGGCACCGCTGCTTCGACTGGTTTCAGAAGCTGATCTCGAGCCTTTGTCTCTTGTTTTCGCGCTTCTTCTTTTGCAGCTCACGGGCATGAGTGCGCATGAACCTCAAGATGAGTCAATATGATCTTCTAAACGCATCTACACAGCTAAACAAACTGAGGGCAAGGGCAGATCAATCTGCTGCAGCTTGATCTCGGAGATGTAGTTGTTATGGATGCCGAACTGGCCAAGCTCCCACTTCGCAGTCGATTGACTCTGTATGTTGGGCTGCACAGGTCGCACAAATTCTTTTGGAGATTATCTCTGAACTAACGATGAGCGCTGGCCACACCTCAGTCATCGAGAGGTGCTCTGCCTTCTGCAGAAGCTTCAGAAAGACCTGCCCGACAAACTGGCCACAACTTGCAAGTACTCTGGGCGATGCAAGCGGAAGCTTGAGAGCTTCTTTGAATATTATGCTTTCAACCTCAGGAGCTTGGTGGTATGACTACCAGGGCTAAGACGTAGTGCGAGTTGTTGGGCTTGGCCATGCCTCTGCAGCCTCATCGGTGAAGTAGTTGTCCTGCTTGCAATGGCGCAGCAAGAGCTGGTGGCACTGGAAGGATCTCGCCTCGAAACTGAGCTTGGTGATGAACTTGTTCTGCAAAATGACCTGTCCCCCGCCCCGCTGCCAGCCCATGCCCTGGCTGAGTGGGGGTTGTGCTGCAGGGCCTCTGCCACGAACTCCATGGCATCATCTCGAATATTATTGCCTCCGGCATTGCATTCTATTAGTTGGCATAGCTTCACCCGTCGTCCACAGCCTGAACAGTCCAACTCTTGCAGGTGGGTGTTCGTCAGCAGGGCCTGGCACAGGGGAAAGCCGCACGTAGAAGACAGTTCAGCTGAGTTCAGCTCTGCTTTTTTAGGCGACCGCGGCGACCGCTCGCCTCAAAGAGGTGCTTCACCGCGTCGTCCCGCATGCGGTTCACCTCCACTTCACAGCAGATCCACAGCAGAGTTGCAGACTGCTGCTAGCCGCTGCTAGCTGCTAGCCGCTGCTAGCTGGGCAGCGTACTCGGATGTCCAAAGATCGCAGCCTGCAGTTTTTCCGCAATGCCTGAAAGAGGCAGGCGGAACTGAAGCAAGAAAGCTCCAAGCGAAGCTTTGCCAGCATGCGGGCTGGATCGTGCTTGATTCACAGCGGAGCGCAAAGAGACAAGCCAGGGGGGTGAACAAACTACTGCCCAACAGTTTGGCTGGCAGATTCGTCGCTCTGCCGGATTTCGTGTTCCAAAGGGCAGGCACTAGACATGACCTCGAGCACTTCACCTTGCTAGTTGCTAGTTCTTGCCTGAGCAATGGCCCTACCAACGCCTGAACCTGTGGCCTGGAGCCGAAGTCAGGAACTCCGCTCAATACTTGCTGCGCACTAGAGGCTGCAAAGGCTGCAGGTAGCCTCACGGACCCGAAACTCCGAGTTCCCAGTCCCACGAACCCGCGGAGCTAAACCCCAAAGTTTCTGTGCCCTGCCTGGGCCCTGCCTAGGTCGATGCGAGTGTCAAGTCGATGACTTCGTGTGTCTTGCAATGACCCGCCTTGGCGATTGCCTTGCCCCCGATGCTGGTGATTCCGTTGGCGCGCACACCTGGCATAAGGCATCTGTCACAACCACTGCCCATCAACGCTGGCTTCCACCTGAGTGCTGCGCTTAGTTTGGATACCCGGCTGTGGTTGCACAAAGCCTTCCCAGCTGCCCAGGTTCAAACGTTCATGCATCCGAGAGCGATTATGAGAATAGAGGAAGCAGGGACGGTGGCAAATTTGTGCCTTAGCCAGAGCAACCGCTCCAGGATCTCCAATTTCGTTCAAACCTCGCGACGTCGCAAGCGTGCGATCGCAAGAACATTCAGATCAGTCCATATCGCTCACCAAGGCAAAGACCAAGATCTAGATGCCTTAACGTTGGGCACTTCTCGACTGCGCTCCCGATGGCGGCACCCCCATCCTGACTTTCAGGTTTCCGGGATTCTACAAGCTCCAGGAATGCGGGCTCACACCTTAGCAGTGGACTGGCACTAAAGAGTGGACTGGCTGCTCTGCTAAGGCGAGTTGCTATGACCCTTTTCAGCAGGAAGCTTCTCAGACCATGCAGTGCGGCACCCAGGCCTTCAGGATGTGGTTGTCAAAAAGTCTCAGCTCCTTTAAGGTGCGAGAGGAGGACACGAACCTGACATGCAGTTTGCCTGCCCTTGCCACATTCTTTCGACACTGGCATGCAGTAGGCTCGTAGTGCGTTTCACGTGATTCATGCACGCAGTGTTGTTCCAAACGTTGATGGTGAATGCGAAACGAAACAGAGCCGTCATAAAACACGCTGTTGCAGGACTTCAGGACTCCATGGGCTTCATGGGCTTCGCGTCTCAGCACAAATACGATGCTCGTGACAGCGCTGCAGCCAGATTTCCAGCACTGCTTCAGCAGAATTTCATGGCCGAAGCCCTGGAAGTTACTAAGTCTGGCTAATGGTTCGCTTTGCGGCTGCATGAGGCTGCAGGGTTTCACGATGTTGTCTGCTCACCATACGTTGGCTGCTTCCAAACCTTGAAGCCAACCAGCGGGGAGGTGCAAGCGAACGCAATAGTGGGCTTTCTGGTTTGGTTGTGGAGCACTTGCCTGGAGGGAAGGCTCTGAGACACCGTGACAGGCGACGAGTGACACCAACCTTTGCCAACCTGTGATATTGCCGAGGGTGGACAATACCCAGAGGAACCGCAGCAACAACTCAACCCTCCAACAACGACGATCAGTTGCAGTACTTTGGCTGAGCACTCGACTCAGCTATCGCTGCGGCACCCGTGTCCTGACGATGGTCGAGACAAGCATTAATGCCAGCATGCTGGGTCAGACCCTTGTCGCACTGCACCAACAAGCAGCATCGCTCCGCGAACACGAGCAGAGGTGCAAGGATGAATTGCCGTGCACAGCACAAGCAGCAATGGACGGGTCGATCTTCCCAGAGCTAGTCTAGTACGCGCACCAAGCTGTGTTCAGCTTCACTTTCCGAGACCCTGGCCCCAATACCATTAGCATCCAGCGTGAGGACTTCGAGCACACCCTGACGTGAGTCTAGAAATGAATAGGCTGCAAAGACTTGAGCGATGCAACTGCGTCGATACTCCACGTGGAACCTTGGGTTCTTTAGGTCCTCCTCGTGCTCGTTGCATTCATGCAACAGCACACTCATTACGTGCAACAGAACGGCACCTGCTGAGTCAGGGCGTCCGCAACCGCTCCCACGCCGGCATCAGACAAATTGTTGTGCTGGAGGTTCAGGTCCAGAATAACTGCAGGGACGAACCCAGCAAGTATCACTCCGAACCGAGACCTAGGGGCAACGGCAGCCTCCTGCCTCGATTAGTTGACAAGCCTTTGGCCAAAATGACGGCTTCTTCCGGACCGAAGCACACGTGCCTTAAAGCCGCAGCAAAGGAGTCATCCGCCCTGCCCTGCCCTGCCCTGCCTTGCCTGAAGTCGAGCTTGGTGACATGATCTGGCATTTGGAGGGAAGCGGTGGTAGCCACACTTGCAGAACATCACAGCAGACAGGATTCATGCAGCCAAAGTCGCTGTTTGTAGAAACATCATTTGACAGAGCTAGAAGCCCGGACCGCGAGATGTTGGCCAGTGAGGCCTCCCGTTGTAGCATCGTCTCGTGCCCCTAGGCTGAAGGTGACTGAGTCTTCACAATGCCACAAGGCCTCCTCAACATCCTCATCGATGCGAACATTCAGCCGAACAACCTCAAGAAGCCAGAGGCGAACTGTTGGATGCAGATAGACCAAGCGACAGCCTTTGGCGAGAATCCCCTGACCAACTGAGGCTTGTCCTCAACTTCATGCAGCGGTTCCTTATGGTTGAGGCACATGCATGTTGGGTTTTTGTCGGTCCTTCTTGGGGAAGAGGACAATCGGCATGCGACGAGACGCACGCGCATTTACTATGCTTTGGGGGAACAAAGGTAAGCCCTGACACATGCTGCATGCTTGGTCTTGTAGCCGCCGTCTGCAAGTGCCAGGCATTTTTGTGTAGGTGAGATCAGCCAGTGGTTGAGATGTCCTGAGTCCTAAGCCCTAAGTCCTAAGCTACTCTGGACAAGAGATGAGCCAAATTTTTCGTTGAAGAGCTGTGATCCACATGCCTTTAGATTGTTTGCTTGATTGTTTGATTGATTGATTGCTTGATTGCTTGCTTGATTAATTGCTTGCTTGCTTGCTTGCTTGCTTGCTTGCTTGCTTGCTTGCTTGATTGATTGATTGATTGATTGATTGATCAATCAATCCTCCTGTGGGTGCTAACACCCTTGCATTAGCGTTGCCATGACATGCCATGCATTATAGTTCTGTTACCTTTAGATGTGTGTCAGGGCCCTGTTGTTCAAACTCGCGCAGACGCTCTGCGAGTGTGGAGCCATGAATCGACACAGAACTGAGAACAATTTTCGGGGTGCTCGGGCTCGAGATCACCATGCAGCCCTAGAAACAGAAACACAGATTTCTGACCGTACAACAAGGCAAGACAGCAAGTAATAGCAAAACGTTGAGCTACAAGGTAATCAATCACCTTCGATGTGCAAAAGGCCGTTGCAATGCACTGGGGTCTCATCTAGCCGATTTGCACATCGGACACACAGCGGTCCCACGTGCTACCTCGCACAGGCGCAGTGTGGTGCCCTGAATCCACTTTTTTGCCCTTAAGCCCTCATCTCGCCGACTGCTTGCAAAGCTTTGTTGCAGCTTAAACGGCTGTTGCAAGAAAACACCGTTTGATGAACAAGAGCGGTCTTCATGCTGTCTCCTGATTTCCGATCCACTCCTGTCAACGTAGAGATCCAGAAGAGAAATCAAAAGGAGGACGTAGACAACGTAAATGCAGGGAATACTCGAGACATGGGCAAGGCCACCTCGAACTTCTTCCCTCTGGCATGCAGATATTCCACACCCTCGACTTCTTCAAGGAGGAACCATGGCCTCGTTCTGCCGCTCGTGTCGCTGATCAGCATGACATGACAGGACGTGTTCGATGCCACTCTGAGGTCACGACAAACCGTGAGGCTCTCCGAAATCCAAGCCAACCGAGCCACCCACAACCCCCAAGCACAGGGCCTTAGCAACCATTCTCAGGTCTTGCAACTGGAAAGGTTTGCCCGTAATCGTGCACAATCTACCAACTAGTCACTCCATTTCGGACTAAGCAGCGGCAATGGAATCAACGTCACCGCCGATGTCGACCGATGCCCTCGCGAAGATGCTAGACTGAATGTGAATCATTGAGTCTCATTACCTCCACTTGGCAAACAAAGTTCCCAAACCCCCCGACTCCGATTTGTCTCTGAAGTCAGCCGTGTTCAGCTCGTTCAAACATCATCAAAAATTCCAGCCGCACTTTGCGAAACTGGCTTCGCCCCCCTAGTTACTCTTTAGTCCAGGAACACCACCTTCCCCCTGGCCGCGAACGCGCCCTGGTTCTGCGGTCTATGTGAAAGTACAGCCCGATGAGGTCGAGGGTGGTCACTCGAAAACCCCCCTGTATACCCTTTGCTTCACTGACCCCCGGCCTCATCGCTTTCTTCTCTCTTTCGGCATGGCTAGGGGCAGAGAGGTTTCCCCCTCTGCCCGAGCACCAGAAAACTCTCTCTCTCTCTTTTTTTCGACAGGGTTATGCACAGCAGGGTTACCCCCACTGCCCGCGCGCCGTCGGCGCCCCCGACCGTTGTGGAGGGGCTTGAGAAAAGCGCTACGACATGAAGGCCTCTCTCTCTCTTTCTTTCGACAGGGTTATGGACAGCAGGGTTACCCCCACTGCCCGTGCGCCGTCGGCGCCCCCGACCGTTGTGGAGGGGCTTGAGAAAAGCGCTACGACATGAAGGCAAATTTTGCCTATGTCTCGCGGTCAACACACTACATCAAGGGAGTCTGGGATCAAAACAGCAAAAAACGACGACTAAGTACAATACTCCGGGATTGACTCCCCGACGGCATCTGCAGCAGAAAGGAAGGATCCGAACCAAAACCAACAGCAGGAAAGCCCCTGGCGAGCTCGACCAATCAAAAGGAGCCATAACCAAAAAGAAAGGATGTCCCCCTGCAGGCTGCTCTGAAGGTCACGTGGCTGGTTAATTAGGGAGCCTCGAGCGGAGGCACGGCGTAAAGGCAAATGGATGGCTCGTGCGGCCCGTTTTATGGTACAAGGAAAAGATTTCCAAGGGGTGTTCCCCCGTGTTCCAACGGAAAACGAGTGGAGAGAGTACGTTCAATGGAAAAGAGTGGGTTACACATGCGTGTACTCTCTTGCTTGCTTGCTTGCACGCCGTTTGGGGAATGAGGTTCCCCTCACGCCCCTGCGCTCACGCGCTACGGCCCTGTCTGTTGTCCAGTGGTCGGCGTGAAACTGCTGAAGGAGTCAGCACTATAGAAACATAAAGGCGCAAACGCAACCCTTACTGCAGTGTACTCTTTCTTTCGGAAGGGATATGAGCAAAGGAGTTACCTCCCTCTCTCTCTCTCTCTCTCTTTCGGCAGGGTTATGGGCAAGGGAGTTTCCCCCATTGCCCGCGCGCCGTCGGCGCCCCCGACTGGTGTTGGGGCGTATTTCAGAAAAGGCTCACTGCACCACCAAGGCATCAGGCATTAGGCCAAGGAGACTAAAATGCAGTAAAGCAGGAAGGGAAGTAATTGCCGATGCCATGCGTGAGTGGTGTATAGAAAGCGCATGCTCTGCCGAGGGAACTGGAAGCAAAACTCGGAACCGAAAAGTAAGAACCAGCTACAAAAGGTTTAAGGGCTGTCCCCTGCGAGCTGCAAAAGGTACTGAGCACGTGGCCTTGAATTTAGTGCCTCGAGCGGAGGCGGTATGTTCGAAAGGAATGGCTCCGGCGGCCCGTCTTATGGTACACGGAATAATATATTCCGGGGGATTACTCCCCAAGTTCGCAAAGAAAAGTATGGAGCGAAAAGTCAGTATGGAGGCGAAGTATTGGCAACTACGGCTTGCACGCCACTGTGCTTTTATGGAAGCATGTACAACCAACGGAGCTGTAAAAGGGAATCTCCCCAAAAACTGCTATACAAGTGTATGGCCTTCTCAGTTCAACAGGCGTCACTCATCGCGATGACGCAGCTGTTCTCTTTCTAGGCAAAGGCGATCTTTCACGTTGGCGCAGCAGGGGCTGTCGTTCCCTGGAGGCATATGTCCTTTGCTGGCCTTCGCGGCGTTGTGAGGGGCCCCATCCCCTGTTGTCATCTTTATCCCATGTACCCGCAGCTCGCTTTCGCTTCCTGAGTGCTCTGTATTCAGCCTTCATGCCTTGTCTGTAGGCTGCCCACATTGAGGCAAGGTCCGCACAACGGTCCAAACCATATGGTACTCGTCCTTCTGAGTCTCTGGTGCGGAGCAGTTCATGGAGACGAGCTCTCTGCTGTGCCGTGAGTTTTGTCGGCACCCCAATGGGTTCTGGGACTTTGTCCCGGCTTCCTTTATCGCACGTCACAGGGGCATTCCCCTGTTCGTCACCATCCTCTTCTCCAAGTCTATACTCAGCGGAGTCAGGGCCTGCACCATCTTGTTCTGAGCTCACTGGGCTTGTCGGAGGTGCTTCGGGGTCAAAATCCCCATAGGAGTCTCTGTTTTCACACGGGGAGTCTTCCCCAAGTTTTGGCTCGGCCGGGTCACGGTCGACAGTTTCATCTCCCTTGTCGCATACACCCTGCTGTGGCGCACCATGGGGCTGGTCTTCTTCGACTTCAAAGACGTCTGCTGAGGGGTGTAGCCCCTTAGTGAATCCTTGTCCTTGTACCCAGCCAGGTGGTAGAGGTTCCAGGATAGCTCGTACGTGGCCAGGTAGATCTTGTGTGGGAATCAAGGATTCCCCTCTGAAGGAGATGACTCAGGCTGAAGGTCCAATTGAGGTCCACGGCTTTGTATAGTAGTTCCGCTTGCTCCAGCTGTTGGGGTTGCCCCCAATTTGTTGTCCAACCTGGTACTCGATGCAGTGTTCGAAGGTGAGTCAAGGATGAAGGGTTGCGAGTCCACATCGGCATCATGGTGAGGTCCACCGGTGTTGGGCATGTCGTCGGTGGAGGTGTTGTTCATTGTTGGGGGATTCTCCATGGCAGCACTGTGTATTGCCTCCATTGTATCGCAGGCAGAACGAGTCGTTTCGTAGTTGTCCACGCTGTCATGTTTAGTGCCGCTTGAAGTACTCGTTGTGGTAGTTGGCGTGGGGGCAGGTATAGCCCGTGCAGCTCCGGCCTCGATGGGCGAAAGTCCTCGAATGATCCGCGAAGTCTTTGAGCGGGGCAGTTCTGGGAGAACCCACTCTGGCGTTGGCTCGTCTGCTTGCATGTTGGCGGTCATCTTGTTGGCAGACGGTTCGGGTAGTGAGGTAGTCCCCCTGGATGCCGTAGAGGTCGAGGTCAAAGGAGGGGGCGTGAGTTCAGCTGGTGGGCTCGCGAAGTACCGCACTGGAGTGCGTGGTTTACGCCGTTCGTCACGTCGGGCAGGCTCCCCTTTACTGGATTGGATGCCGAAGAGCTCCTGGAGGGGGTCCGAGATGAGGGCCTCCGAAGCGTCCTCACCGTCCGGATCGTCATTGGGTGGGCTTTCATGCACCCTCTTGGCTTTGGCACGGCTGCGGTGTCGGCCACGTGGCTTCGCCTCAGTGGGGGGGGGGGGAGGGGGGGGACGTTCTTGTAGTAGAACTCGTCGTAGTCGTAGAGGTGACCCCCCTGGCACTAGGATCAACTGAGGCCGTCTGTGAGCTTTCTAGGGCTTTACGCACTGCCTGCTGGATGTCCTTCTTGTTTTGACTAGTGCATCCATGTAGTAGGCAGTTAGGGTCCTGCCTTTGGTGTCCTTCATGGCAGCTTGGTCCTCTTCGACACCTGTGGCACACCGGGGGATTTCCCCCCTTGTCCTGCAGTGCGTGGGCAAGGATATTACTCCTGGAGTTCTCGGGGTAGTGTCACGATGCACACCGCAGACAAACTGTATGACCAGTTCTGGTAGTCAGGAATCGCTCCCTGGAACAAGATGAAGTGAAGTGTCGCCGATATTTCCCAGGTAGTGGGTGACAAACTCCCTAAGGAAGAGGCAGGCAGCGGTCACCGAACTGCTCCGACGACACCGTACTCGCCGAGGACAGCTTGCGAGATGAACTGCCCACAAAGGCCGTACTCCCCCTTCAGCAATGCGTCGGAAGAGAACTGAGAGAAAAGGGCGGAGCAGAAGGGAGAAGTTTGGTTGTCCCGTGGGGAGCAAAGACGAAGTTGGAGAGAAGGGGCTCACAGAGGGCTCCCCACGGGCTTGAACCGCTCGCGGCTTGAGCCAAAATGGCTACCGCTCTCTCTCTCTCTCTCTCTCCGTCTCTTCTTCTTACCTCCGTCTCTTCTTCGTAGAGTTTTTTTTTCCGGGGATCTCTGTGTCTCTCTCGGGCATGAGGAGCTGAAACTCCCTCTCGCTGTCTCTGTTTCGTCCCCTCTCTCACGCAAGAAACCTCCTGATATGCCCTGATCCTTGATTCACCAAAGCAATTAGTGTTCCCCTCTGCAGGGGCTCAAATTTAGCCATTCCGTTGCCAGTGGCCCCGTGCACATCTCCACCGTGCCTGCACCCCCAGCAGCTTCTTATCCCCGCAGAATCCCGCAGAATACAATGAAGGACCCGATGCCTGCCTGAGAATGTCTAAAGGACCGCGATGATGCTTCAAGAGGTAGAGCACAACAGCTGCAGTTCTCATGGCCTGCCGAGATACGAAACACCCACACGCACAAACACACGCAAAAAAAAAAAAAAACTGAGACTGTCCAGAAGCTGTCCGGACTGCATATGCTGAGAATTTGGCATCGGACCAAAGGCCATGCATCTTGCTGGAGCCATCTTCTCCGGCTCCGATGCCATCAGCCTCAATCAGCTCAAACTCTGTGGCGACACACTGCATACCATATCCGTTGCATCATACTCATGTTTCTCTCCACTCCACGAATCTCGCACACGCGCAGACTCATCCAGGAACAGCGCGCAGTACAGATGCCATACCCGGTCTGAGAAGAGCACTGGGGGGCACGGCTGTGGACCGCAAAGCAGCTCGTGCCTTTTTGACGCGAGGCCGCAAAAGGGCGAAACCCAGAGCCGAGACACAACGGGCGCCTGTGAGCGGGCATTTTCCGGAAGCGGCCACCCCAGTCGTGGTAGTCCTTGTTGGTGCACACTGCTGCCCCGACGGGCTATATCTGGCTGTTGCACATATCTCCGCCTGCCTCCAGCTCGTCGATCTTCTGCAAATGCACCTGGCTCAAGAGGCGTTCGTCTGCATTCAGATGCTGTCCAGAGACCGCTACCTCTGTGGCACGGTCACTGACACTGCTGTTCTGCAGCCTGCACTGGGCATGTGAATGTGCACATGGCCGGTGGAAAGCGAGTGTGAAGGCGAGCTGCCGCCTTGACAAGGCCCTGCCTATGACCTCATTGGCTCAACGAAGCGCTTCTGAGACAGACTTCTCTGGGTGTGGAGTCTCAAAGCATGTGCTACCTTCAAGTCCGCGGCAGTATTCTGGGTTCTGCACTGCTGCATTGAAACAAAAAGGATAGACCGCCAAATGATGTGGGATTTGCACCGGCTGCACATCAGATAAAACTGCAAGTGCGTGGGGCCTAGAACAAGGATTTCGGGCATCACGCGCCTCATAGCTTAGCGCTCAGTTTGCGGTTTCTGTACAGGAACCTGCTGCCAAGTTGCCTCCTTCTGGTCGCCGCGCTCCACGATCAACCACCGAGCACCCTGCCCGCATGCCGTCATCAACTGCTCTTTGTCCGAGGCATGAGATGGCCTCTGCCACCAGGAAGCTCGCCGCACGTGCCCGAGCATGTGGATGCCTTGTGGCTGGAAATCCCAGATTGATTAGTCAGCGGACTCGCCGCAGAAGCAACTTCCAACATGAGGTCTTTGCGTCGAGTTTGCATTCATCACGGACAGCCTGAGATGCCAGGAGCATGACTGCGCACATGCAGGCTGACAATCTGTCATCCCTGTATTGGGCAAGAAGTCTGTGAATGGTGCTTCTCTCTGAGGGAGTTGTTCTCAATGAAAGCCAATGGTAGAGCCTCAGGAAGCAAGATTCATGGCGGCCGTACATCCAAGGCGCTCGAGAGTCTCGGCATCAGCGCTGGGCCCTCATTGGAGGTGCGTTCCCCGGATCTTCCTTTCCCGACTGAAGTCTGCGGACCTCTCGAGCATGCGCATTGACTCTACATCTCAAGTGCTTCCATGCTCCTGTTTTCCTGCCTCATCAATGTCGCGAAACCCTCGGAAGTATCCCTTAATGCTGCCATGGCCTCGTCGAGGCTTTCCCGAAAAGAGAGCCACGAAGCGGAGCGCGCTGAGAGCGCTGCCGTGCCTCTCTGCTCCCGGAGGTGCGGGTCGTGGCCGCTTCTTGGCCAAGTCCCACTCGGCCTCTCGGCGGCTGCGACTTTTTGTGGCTCCGACTTTTTGTTCGACTGCGATTTGTGACCAACCTGCCAGCACTCCAGCATGTCTTCCGCGCCTAAGGCAAAAACCAGGGGGACAAACGAACGCTTTCAAAGCAGAATTCATTGATCCCTGATATCCCTGATGCGCCACTCTTTTTTCAGGTACATGGTATCGACTTCATTCCAATCTTGCATTTCTGACTGATAATGCATCTGAGAATTCGGAGGACCGTTTCTCGATCGGATCGCAAACTAAAAGCAGAGGAACATCCAAAGAATGAAATCGGGGCAGGGTGGGCGGGAAAATAGAATTTGAAGGTATGCTTTCGCCCGAATGGCAACAGTGAAAAACAAGGGTGTGATAAACCAGTCAGGTCCAATGCAGTCGATGGATTGGAGCATGAGAAGCTACGAGGTGTCACTTCGCACACATGTGTGCTACATTACAGAATTTCCCGGGCAGCGCACGCTAGGCACCCTGCTGATCTGCAGGCCGTGAGTGATCAGGCCGTTTATCAATCCGACCGTCATCTCCTCTTGAAACGAAAGAATTCAGCACGAGAACGCTTCTGATCTGCGGGGCTGCTCAGGCAGCCTCAAGACTGGGTGCGAGACGCAGTCGTCAGTGTACATGCCACAGGCCTCTGCACAGCCGTGGCGCTTGCAGGGAATCAGCATAGCACCCTTCGCTGAACCGTGCTTGCCATCCACCGAACGCTCTTAGAAAGCTGTGGCCTCTTTTTTTGGACCTCTTGATTCACATTGTGAGGGTAGCAATGCCAGGCACGCTACAACATGTTACAACGTCGCGCACACTGCTTTGGCGCAACTACTTTGTCAGGAAGAGCCGGCAACAGCGGCTTTTTCCAATTCGACGCTTGGGGAAGGCTTCTTCGGCCCCCCTTGCGCCTCACGTGAGCCTGGCCTCGGGAGTCCCGACCAACAGAGCCAGTGAGGGCGAGTCGTCGTCTTCACCATGCCGAGGAGGCACTCCGCTGCGCAAATGGTACAGGATCGCGCTGATACCGAGTCGCTGAAGGGACATTCCAGCAATGTGGCGTGTGCCGCTGTCCATAGATGGAGCGCAGTGGCTGGCTGGCACATGCTGGCACCATGGTTGCAAGCTTTCTCTTCCACCTTCACTTGCCATGAGGCACGAAGCGCAGCTCAGTCAACTGCAGCATCAAGAAACTGCCTGGTCTGAACGCTTCACGTGAGGTACAGAAACTAAGTAAGCGCGATAGACTTGATGCCGATCAAGTCGGGCTCTTCACAGTTAAAACTTGGGCAAAGTGACAGGAAGACGGACAGAACGACATAGAAGGTGCTGAGCTCAACTGCGATAGTCTTGCCAACTCTCAGAGAAGGGACACTTGCCACGAGAGCCGCACCTCACTAGTGGTTCATAAGTTGCACACAGGGTCGTAGCCGTCGTAGCCCTTACATGTACGCAGCTTCCGCAGGCCAACACTCCGTGCAGCCAGGTGTCCAGCCACGAACGGAGGTCCCGCAAGCAGCAAAGTGGAGTAGAGGATAAACGACCAGGACTTCCAAGCTTTCACCTTGAGCTTGGTTTCAGTGATGTCCTCCTCCTCGCACAGCAGGCTCCGTGTGTGCAGTACCTCGGATCATCCAGCGTCCCACTCCAATAAAGCAAAACAAATACCTGGGATCGCTATTTTCTATGCGTGGCCGGTCGGGAGACGATATCGGCAATCTCGTCCTCTGATGCGTGCTCCGAGCGAGCCTTCTGGTCAGAAGTACAGCATGGGCACCAACACCAGAAACCAAACCTCAGGCGGCAGGCAGCCGAAGCAAGGCTTCATTCTACACCAGTAAGATACATGTTCGCAATCCAGGCGTGAGCAGTTCCGGGGAGCCCGTAATAAAGCACAAGCCGTCGAAACCAGGCACTGGAAGATGGGCCGAAGTCTTGATAAGGCAAGGTCACCTCCACTTCCACCGCCACATCTCTGATCTCAGAACTGACAAGACTTGTAGTGAAGAAATGAAACTCGTGTTTGCCTCCTCGCCAGCCGGGATGTCGCGGCTGGCAGCAATGATGCCTCATGTCAGAGAAGCAGAAGCATTGCCAGAAGCAGGGGCTGATCTTCCGTTCGGACGAGGGGCTAACGTTCTCGTCTGCATCGGTCAGTCTGCGGGCGTTCGGTCTGCAAGAGTGGTTGAAGACCGTCCCCAAGCCATACAGTGCTTCGAATCTGTTGAGACGTGCACGAAGGGTTCGCATGAAGCGAGGCAACCTCGAGTTCCACAAGACTTTGCAAGGGGAATCGAGAAGCCTCAACTCTGGACCAAGTGCCGGAAGGCAGCTTCTCAAGCAAGTGTCCAGGAATCAAGAAGAGTGGGAAGAAGTATAGAGATGCAGGAACAGCCTTGGGCAGGCCCATGGGTGTCCCAGGCGATTCACTTTAGCATGACCACTGGTTGGAAGGAAGTACGGAAGGCTTAAAGGCTCAGCATTGTGAGGCCAACAGCAGTGTGCTAGTCAACATCAGACTTTGCACTCAGCCCTGCTTGCTGTCGGGCTGCCTTAGCAGTTCGCGGATGATAACAAAGCGGTACGTCACACTTCAAGGGCAACGGCTTCTCAATGAGGAGGACAGAATGTGCGGGCACATCGTGCTCCACGACGAAGGAGTACCTTGTGCTTGCTTCTGGGTAGACGAGCCGCAGGCCCCTGGCTGCACTTAGCTGCAGCTCAGGGTCCCTCGAACTGGTTCCTTCTCCAGGCGGATGGCGCCCACGAAGCAACAACCCACGGAGCGCTGAGCTTCGCAGGAAGCAACCGCCTCTCCCCATGAAGAGATCTCCATGGCAACCCTCGGAGCTGCCTGAAGCTGTGCATCGCCTATCCTCCAAAGCGGAGACTTGGCCAAAACAGCGGGCGGCAGTGACTCCAGAAATCCACGAGATGCAAACTCTGAACTGAGTTGCAGACGGAGTTCGTGTTCCATTCAGACCTCTCAAAACATCAGATTTCTGCCTGCACTCCTGTCTCCCGTACCCACCTGCGCATGGGATTCTTGGGCCACTGATCGAATGTCACAAATTCCCGGATCCAGTACCTCGCATCTGATGGAGGCAAGGCGGAGATGGCCGTTCCCTGAAATACTCAGCACTTGCAAACGTCGCGGATACGAATTCGGTGGTCTTCTGCAGCCCTGAGCAACTCTCATGACATTGGGCACCCGGCGCATCTTGCATCTCGATGATGGCCCCGAAAGCATCACCAATGGCATCCCCAATCAGAAGCTGCGTCGCCTAGGCGAACAGCACGAGAGTCCGCCAGAAGATTTGAAATGTGACGGGTATTTTCACTTCGCAGCAGGATCTGGTAAAGACATCCGCTGTCTGGGAAACTGCAAGCGCATGCCACGCCGGAGTTCAAGGATCCCGGTCTGATGGTGTAATGCTTAGAATGCCGGCTTTTCCGAACTTGGGGTGGTTCCACTGTTTTACTTCGTGCAGCACTCCTGCATGCACGCAACCCGAACGTCCTGCCACATCCTGTCTTTGCTAGGGTTCAGTCCCCTTTCCCTCTGAATTCGGGTTTGTCTTCGAGCTGGGGTCCGTAATCCTCCCTGTGTACGTGTAGACGATTCTTCAGCCAAAGTAATGACAGCTGCGGAGTTCCTCCTGTAATTCTTGTGCCCAGAACTGAGATGAGGCTGAGATTCTGGCTGGGCCGCTATTGAAAAGCAGCTTTCGACGTCGAGCCCTTGCCTCCCAATCCGGCCCATGACCGAGGTCCGAAGTCTGGCAGTTACAGGACCTAGCCTATTTTGGGGCTTGCGACCGAAAGGCGGCGGAATTCGTCCCAGTCCCGCCTCCGGGTCGGTTGCAAACATCGGTACCTCGCCAAAAGCGCGCGGAGCGTCTTCGGCAGAGCGTCCCGCGACGTCCCAGGGGCCCCCACCTCCTCAGGGCCGAGGTCGGCTCCAGGCGCTGGCCTTGATGGAGGGAAAGAAAAAAAAAGCGACGGAAGGCCTTTAAGGCATTTTGGCCGGAGAAGGGAGGGCGCCTCCTCCGTCCTCGCCGGCGCGGCCTCGAACCTCTCCTTCTCAGCTAGATTTTCGCTCAAAGCATACCAGCTGCCGACATCTCCTGTTTCTGGTGTCTGACACAGTCTCAGGAGATGCAGCCGAACTCAGAACTGAATCCACATCCTCTCTGCCGTCGCTGAAAAAATTGCACCCCTGTTCTAAACAAATTCTCGAGTGTCAAGGCTAAGTAAGCCTATTGCACTGAAGAAACAGGACAAGTGCGGAGTGCTCCTGCCACCTCTTCTTAAAGCACGTTGGCTCCTGCAAGAGCTCGACGCAAGGAGCTGCGAGCACCGAGATCCAGCAACAATTCACATGCTGTGTCCTGGGAGTGGACGGTGTTCGGCTAGATGCACAGGCAACCGACCTCCAAGGTTGAATTCAGCCAAACGCATGATCGGTGTTTGTCTGAGCTACAGACACCCCGCAAGATTCCGTACCGCAAAAGTGCTCCGCACTCCCATGGTGTGCTACACTTCACCCCCGGCAGCCAGGGCAGAGTCGCACCTTGCCAGTTCAGTTGTCACCATCGCACTGGCCTGTAGTTCGGGAAGATTCAACCACGGCAGGGCATGCAGACGCGAGCGCCATCTGCATTTGGCGGATGGCTCTGTTCCGAGAGAGATGCCACCATCGCTGCAGCCATTACAGGTAAACGTCTGCAAGCACCTCCAAGGCAACGACTGCCTCACGTCCCTACATGCTCCGAACAGTGTTTCGATTGTCATGCTTGCATTGCACAGGCAAGGACCTAGGACCCAGACCCAGGCACCCCATGGATGCAAGTCGTGACGACGCAAGGACACGATTCTGAAGAAGCTAGTTATGCTGATGCTGGAAGTTTAGATATCGCAAAATCTGCATTTATGGACACCCAACTCCGGGTAAAGCCGCAAGACTTGAGGTGCACAAGATGTTCAACAAATGCCCGACTGGGTAAACTACCAGAGTGCAGCGTGTCTGTTGCTGAAGTTCTGTTCCAGGGCACTGCTGCCACGGCTTGCGCGTGGTGTCCACACCTGCCCAGAGCTTCATGAACCCAGGCAGAATGAAAGCTCTTGATTGTGGCCTGGACTTGCAGCCATGGCGTCAAGCTCTGCATGGCTCATGCCGACCTTCACGGCTTAGGCTACTTGCCAAGCTTTAGTCTCCAGTCCCTTTCATGTTGGAACTTCTACATACGAGTGCCATAAATCGCTGCGACGCCTGTAGGATCCTGCACTGGATCATCTGCAGCGGCCCCAAACGGACAGGATGCTTTAAGGACACGTCGGTCTGCGCCTGCATCTCGTGCACTAAAACAAGCTGCCTGCTGAGAAGCGATCACCGGTTGGGCCATTGGAGGGGAGGGAGGTCCCGAGTTGATAAAGCTATGCTCGAAAATGCTCGAAATTACATCAGACGACCCAAGTAACCAAGGACAAGACAACGACCCTGTTCCAAGGAATCCCCAGCAGCTCCAAGCTGCAATTTTGCTCTTTCCAGGTGCCAAAGCTCCTCTTCTGTCATGTGTTCGTATCCTCGAGCTAGAGGTGCCAAACTCTCGTCTTGAGAGAATCCTTCTAGCAGTAAAAAGACCTGCTCTTCGGAGTTCGAAGCCAACGTTTTCCAGTGGTTGACGTCCGCTTTGGGATGTCGCAGAGCAGCTTTAGACGAGCTTGGGAGAATCAGTCTCACCTGGAAATACCTTGAAACCGGAAGGCCGCAGCCTGAGGTCCGGAAGCCCCTCCAGGTTCAAATCCCAAACGGACAGCAGTCTCACTTTCTCCAAACATGTTCGGAGGCGGGCTCATGGCGAAACACAGGCCGGCCGCTGCCGCTGCCAGCGCATCGTTACGAGGCTGCAGACTCAAAGCTGCTGTGCCAACTGGGACACTCCATGCTCCCCACGCTGTAGGTGTAGGGAGCTGGTTTAAATGGTGTCGACTGTCTGAGTGATGTGTCAAACAAACGGGGGCCAAAGATAACACAGAGGGCTTGTCAGTGAGACACAAAGCTGGCCCCCGTCCTGCCGCTGTATACATTCCAGGCCTAGGTGTTGCCTAGGCATCCTGGCAATCCCTGGAAATTCCTAGTTTCAGAGACGGCCTGGGAGGAGGTACCTGGGACTCGATGGGCAGCCGCAGAGGCTTTTCTTCCTGGCACTAGTTGAGAAGAGTTCTTCTGCAAGGCCTCCTGACTCCCCCAGTTCCAGCAACCAAGGCAGGTCAACCGGGCCATCGAGACAAACGAAGCTCGCTCAATGCGCAAGGGGTTCGAAGCTTCACGAAAACCGTGTGGCCCAAGGTGTTGCCTACATCCTGCCTTGGCGGTTTGTTGGCGCTGCCGCCATGGTGGAAAAATGCAGCTCATGCTTTCAAAGACATTCAAAGACAACAAGCGGGATCTGAGTCTTTATCAAAAGCACCCGATGGAGCAGAGTTGCAATGCGTTCGCAAGACAAGCATATTCTGCTGCCTGCAGCATCTCACTTCATCTCAATCACTGTCCTTCGGTCACTTCTGCTCAAGCTGCTTTCTGCCTGGGGCCGCAGCACAGAGCACCACCAAGCAATCACTGCAGCTAGTGCACTGCTGCAGCTGACGAGCATGCAAGTTCGTTCAAATGTGAACCCCGGGCAAACGAACGGCTAATGAAGCTTTGTAGCACTTGCAGCACCTTCGAGGCTTGCCCCTGTCACGTCGACCAAGGGTGAAGTCTGACATCAAACAAGGCTCAACCGCTTATCGTCGGCAAAAACGGGTTGCGGCCTGGAGCTTGGCAACAGCTTGCTTGGCCGCTTCGGCATCCTTAGCCGCCTTAGCCTGAACGCCACAACATGCTCAGGTTCGGTCCACATGATTCCTGCCAGCGGCTTGGCAGAAACACGGCCTCCGTCTGCAGAGCTTGGCGTACACGTTCCTGACAAAGCTGGTGAGCCGAGACGCACATCCCAAAGCCCTACAAAGACCCGAAACCCAACCCTCGCACATCGCCTGTGCCGCCGATGCTTCAGCAAGCAGCATGGCGGCCTCGATGCTGGTGCACTGGCGAATGTCTGTAAGGGCCTGGGAATTGCCGGAGCCTGCTCCGAGCTAGCACTCTGTGCCATCTGGACTGCCTTCAATTCTTCCAGCTTTGCCTCCTTTGACGCAGAATCAGCATTGGGTCTTCTTCCCCTTGTGGCTTGGCTCCGATGTCCTCAACGAGCTGCTTGGCAAAAGCCGCTTCTCGCTGTGCCTGGACCGAAATCGATGCGGAAGACCGTGCGAAGCTTCCGCAGCGGCCCGGCCTGCGCCTCGGCGTTTCGGGCCTGGGCATGCGCGAGAGGACACGGAGACATGCAAAGCTGGGATCCGGCCTTCTGGATCTCTGCCTCCATCGCAGTTCTCTGCGCCTGAGCACGCCAAGCTGGTCAGCTTGGAAGAAACAAAGCTCACTAGGATTAGGGAACGCAGAGCGACCCGGCACTCACCCCTGCCTTCTCTGCACGCACTGACTCCTCGGCCTGTGGAGAGGGCGCATGGGGTACTGAGGAAATCAGAAAACAAACTCGAAAACGGCTCGGACCATATCGGAAAACGCCGGACCAAATCAGAAAACAAAATCGGAAAACGAACAGCCGAAATCAGGAAAACGGACACACACACACACATAAAACCAGACGGACAATATCAGAAAACACGACGGACTGGATCAGAAAACAGGGCGGTCGAAAATCAGAAAACAGGACAAACGAAACGCGAAAAGAGCCACTGCAATGGCGTGACGGGCCAGCTCGCGAGCGAAATCCCATGTTGTTGGAGACCACACTTCTGTACAGAAGCGGCACTCTGCATTGCTCGTCACCTTTCCGTTTGTGGCCAAAACCGAGGGGTGAAAGGACCGCGGCCTTCCTTCACCTCTCGGTTTGTGGTCAAAACGGAAGGGTGAAAGGAGCGCGGCTTTCCTTCACCACTCGGTTTGTGGCCAAAACGGAGGGGTGAAAGAAGCCCTTCCTTCACCTTCACCTGATGAGGTCGTAGAACCACCGCAGAGTCAGGGCAGGATATGTCTAAGGTTTAGGGTCGTATAGGGACTTTGCTTTTTGTTTCTGATTTTTCGTTGTATCCGTTTTCTGATTTTGTCTTTCCTGTTTGCTGATTTTGTTTTCTGATTCTGGGTCTGTTTTCTGATATCGTCTTCGTTGTTTTCTGATTCCGGTTTTGTGAGCCTCACCGGCTGTTTTCGGAAATCCCCCTCCGTGTTTTCCGAATTTGCTTTGTTGATTTCGCCCTTTTATTTCCGATATTCTCTTCACCCAGGGCGCATGCACGTGGCGCCGTTAGCATGTCTCCTTCCATGGTTGAGCTTCGCATAGCTCCGCTGAAGCTGATAAGGTTGGTATGCCGGGAGATCAGGAGTCTGGGGGCCAGTGCAAGCTCTAGCTCCGTGCGGGCCTTGGCTCCCAAGGCCTGTGCCTCAGCTGCAGCCACACGGGCGCGCTCCTGCACAAGGAAAGAGTATACCAGAAGCCTCACCTGGCCTGCTGCCCAAGGAATCCAGGTCTAGTCTGCCGACTTTGGCCTGGAAGGTTGCGAGATATTTGCCCAACTCCACCTTTTCCTTCTCCTTCTCCTGGAAGTAGGCCTGCTGTCTCAGGTAACATAACTTGTAACATGATGAATGCAAGCTTCTGAAGTGAAAGACAGTTACTAGGAATCTCATAGGTGAAAGATGTCTGCAGCGTGATCTGTTACAGAACAGGTTATGTCCTCAGGTATCCCACTCGAGTCAGAGCCTGCTTCCAGGGCTCCAGAAATCTATGATCATTTATCGTTCTCTACAGCTTGAACCTGAGGACTTCAAACCTATGAGCGGCACATACCCCTTCAAAAAGTTCTTTAACGGACTCGATTGAGGGTTACGGCACAGCACTCAGCAGGTCTCGCAGGGAGGGGTTGGAGCCACACTTTCGAGCCTGTCAGCGCTCCAATAATCTGAAACTGGGTGCACTGGGTGTCAGAGAGTGAAGAGTGACACGAACATGCTGAACCGAGTGTGCTTCCTTGCAGACTGCGACACATCTCACTTCGACACCAAGCCTGCATCCGCTGTATGTCTGCTGCTAGCCTGACGTTGTCGTCCTCACACTCTTGCAGTCGATACCTTGCCGCAGAGCACAAGGCTGGGCTGCACCAAGGGCTCATAACCTCAAGCTCAGATCAGAGCGAAAGGACTTTCTCGTTCTGAGCCTGGTCCTCGAGCAGGGTTATCCGCTCCTGGCAGGGTATGTGATTGACCGAGTGGTCTGTCGGACTTATCGTCTGATTCGCGCACAGCACCGCAAACTCTGAGCCATTTGCAACCCACAAACAAACGGAGCCCGCCCCCCATGCAGCGGTAGCTGCGCCTTCAAATTCTTTTCATCTGCTTCCATCAAAGGAATGATCTGTTCCAGAGCCTGCTGCCTGAAGCGATGGTTACAGGCCAGACTCGCTCAGACCCGCTTGAGCTCCAGCTCTAGCCAAGATCTGATCTGCCACGGACCTGTTGTCGGTCTTCTTTAACGTCTCCTGCCCACTTCCCGGTTTCCATTGCAAAGTTGACGGCAGGGGCCAAGATTCACTGGCGGTCGCCTGAATGCGCTGCTCACGCACCAAGGCTGCTGCCTTCTCCTGTCGCGATGTGCGAGGCAAACGCAGGGTTATGTTCGCTTTCCGGAGCTCCTGCTGCAGCCGCTTCTGCTCTGTCGACAAGCCTTGGAACTCAGCAAGTGGCGAAGCTGCAAACGGGCGACATTGTGGAAACAAACGAAGGGCCACGCGTTGCGAATCAGCTTGCGCCATCTGCAAGCGACTCGACAGTTCCTATCAGCACCGGTCAAAGGTTGAGTAGAACATCCGAGCATGCAAAATGCCTGGTTCTTGTTGTTCTGCGCAAGGAGGAAATTCTCGGCAGCTTGCACCTGAAGAGTAGCGAGCGGGGAATGAATGGACGCTCCACGGTGTAATGACATCTTCCCGGAAGGCCAGCCCATTGCAGGACACCTTCTGAGTCAGAGCGATGATCTGTTCTTTGCAAGTGCGAAGTTCAGCCTGCACCTGACCCGACAGATTGAGGCAGACGTACAAATTCCAGTCAGTTCAAAGGCCTCTCCGCTGAACTGCAGGGCTGACTGAAGCCTGGTGCAGGACGGGGACAGAAAGAGTGATGCTGCAGGGCGCAACTCTCCAAACATCTGAGACCCAAGCGCGGTCTGCTTCGTCTGCAGCACATTGCGAAGGTCTTGCTCCTGTCAGCCAAAGCATTGGCATGAAGCTGCCCTATCGGCAGATGCAGACAAACGAAAGGCAGAAACACGCTCACAAGCTCCCCCAACCCAAAGTTTCCTTGTTTGTGGCATCTCTTTTCTCTGCCTGGCGAATTTGGCATGTGCCGCTACACTCAACAATCTCAACAGCTGAGAGGAGGTAGGTTGTTGAGAGACCTTAAGCCTTACGCGGTTCTCTGTTGCCCAAACCAGGTTTGCGCCCATGCTTAAACTCTTATTCGCAAAACTTTTTCCAAGGCAGCTCGTCTGAGAGACGCAAAGATGCAAGCAAGATTAAACACGTGAGCGCACCTGCCGAGTTTCTTCCAGCTCCCTCGCAGACTGCTGGAAAAATCACACGTCACTCCGAATGATAGGGTCGCTTTCCTGCCACATGACTGGCGCCTGACACTTTGCTGCAACCGAGACGTCGCCATGGTAAGCTGGTCCAGTTTCACCTGCCACAACAGTCGCGAATCCGACCAGAGCGAAAACAATGGTAAAGGTGGTTCTGCCTCCTTCTCCTTTGCTTCGCCTTCGAGCTGCGAAATCTTGGCGGAGTTCTTCTTCTCCACTTCCCTGACGTTGCAAAGGACACCCATCACCTGCCTATCACTTCCAAAGACAGTTGGGCGGGCTCTTCGACTGAGATCATTAGAATTGAAATCCCTTTATGTTCCTGGTTCCTCACCGCATGACATGATCTCCAAGACTCTAAAAGGCCTCAAGTGACTAGTCGCATTGTGTGCAGCTGCACCACCCCCAACAGCTTTCAGGAATCGATGTTGCGTGCTGTCCCCTCTGCTGCAGAGCCACCTCAAGTTGCGCTCGAGCGCAGTCACTTCTTCCTGCAGCTCGTGGCAGTTGTCCTCAAGGTCGCGTCAGCTTCGGTGGTGCCACGCCCTCTGTGACAGTAGACTCTGCTTGCACGCTGGTCCCAAACTACGCTACGGACATGCTGTGCACCTGCGATTGTTGTGACACGGTTTGAGCAAACTCGAGCTTGTCGTTGGCATCGTCGTAGATGCTCTGTGCGGCAGGACGCAAACCAACAGCTGCATGACAGCAACATTGCAAGCTTCAACCGCACCTGCAGGGCACAAATCCGTGACTTCAGCTGGTCCTTCATGCCTGAAGCCCGATGCTTGACCATGCCGTCTGCACAGAAAACTTGAGCAAAGCCGGTCGCCCTCCTTGGCTGAGCCTATCTGAGCCTCCCGCGCATGTGGGAGCTCAGCTCTTCCTGCGCTTACAGCTCCCAGCTAGTCTAGTGAAAGCCTGAGAAATGTGTAGACGCCGAGGGTCCTCGAGCTGCTTCTTGAAAATATCGTTGCTGCGCTGCATTTCGGATGTGATGCTGCCATGCCTGTAGCTGGTGCTGCTTCGAGTTAACGTGCAGATGCGCTGCATTACGCTGCAATTCCCCGCCTCTGCAAGCGCTCCTCGAGCTTGCTTTGAATCGCCACCTGCGAACAGGACACAGTCCTCCTATTGTCAAAGAGATCCGACAGCGGCCTCCAGGCCACCTAGCAATGGCGCGCGTTGCATGGATTCCGGGCTGGCACCTTAACGGGAGTTCAGCTAGACGGATGCTTTCACCGCATGTATGCTGGGCTCGAAGCGAACACGCTGTTGCCTTGCAGAGCCAACACCAAGGCCCATGCGCGCGACAGTTTTCTGGCGCCTGGCTTCTGCGGCGATCCGAGCCACGCGAGACTGAACGACCAAAGAAGCACATAGAAGCACCCAAATTGCCTTCGATACGCTGCCGTGGCGGCTGCTGCTGCAGCACCAAGTGCCAGCGGCGCTGCCTCAGCACCGCTTGGTCTGTGCAATTCTGTGCATGGGGGACAGCTACGGCTGAGATCCAGCGATGGCTCCCCAGAAAGCCGCACCCATGATCGGAAGCGGCAAAACTTAACATAAAAGGCAATCCGAGACTGATGACAAGCGGCGGCCTCACTTTCACAACTTCCAAGACATTTCTATCATGCGCATGCACGAACCAGGGCTCTCAATATCCCTCAGTCAGCACTGCTTCATTCACGCGACATTGCAAGCACACCGAGGAAGCAGCAGCATCGGAGAGGCCCGTCTTCGTACCCACCTGCAAATTGCTCTTTGCTTTGCTTTGCTACTGCTCTCCCTCGCTCTCTCCCGCAGGCACGGCCGACATCTTCCGAACGAAGTCGAGATATGCTTCTTCCCAAGAGGAGAAGCGGACAACTAGGGATCGGTTGGACAAAGCGCAGCCTTCGGTCGTACCAGGCCTCCGGAGCTGTGGTGCTGCGAGCAGCCAAGCCGGGACTGCCTGCTACAGAGCCGACCCTCTTCCAAAACCGACACTCACGGACGCATTGCACACAGCATGCAAATGGAATCCCATCCTGGCAACGTCAAGAGCCCACAAAATCGACTAAGCCGCTTGCCGATTGAGCTCGGCGGGACGAAAGCGAGACCAACAGTGCCTGGGCACGATTGTTTGGTGTGACTCAAGTACCTGCGCACGCCAAAAGAGAATATTGATTTGCTGCCCTCATCGAGAACACATCGAGTTACTGCACGGGGTGGTCGCCCCATGACTCGGTGCTCGGGAGCAATGCAAAGCGAGGGCAGGCGGACAGGCTCCGGATTTTCAGGATGGCTGCCGTTGGTTACAGGCGCATGCCGGCACTTTTGGAAGGGTGCATCGGTGTGCGGAGAGGACAGGCGCAGCCAAGTCCCTGAAAGCTTTGCCAGTGCTGCTTGCCAGCCAAGGCGGCTACCAGCATCCAGCTTGAACCGCTGCCTGCAAATCTTGCAAAGGTCATTCCGCAGAACTACCTCACAGAAGGCAACCCTGCGTCTAAAGGAAGGCTATTCTGTCTGCTGCTGCTAGCTCCCATGAGGGGCTGCACACCACATCTGGGAGTTCAGACAACCCACTCCAGCAGCAGCCAAAAAACATATATAGCCAAAACTACGTACAGGAAGCAGCGGCAATCTGCAAGAATCGTTGATTAATGCCGATTGGCCATCCCCAGCTTCCATCAGCTTCCGCTTCCGCGTCCAGCGGTCAGAATCTTCAGAAGTCTTTGTCCAGCGCGAAGGCTGTCAGAGGATCAGACTGCCCCGCCATGACGCCCGCCTTCCTGGTGACCAGGGCAACACACCCCCGAACCAGTGCGACTGGCAGAAGCACACACTGAAAGGCCCAACATCAACTAGGGCCGAGCAGCCTCTGAATTCCTAGCGGTCCTAGCAAACAGCAGCACAAGCAGGGCTTGCTCTCTCAAGCCCAGGCGCTGGTATTCTCCCACGCGCTTCTCAAAGAAGTTGGTCTTGCCCTGCAGGGAGATCATCTCCATCCAGTCAAAAGGGTTGGACGAGTTGAAGATCTTGCTGTGTCCCAGTGCCGTCAATAGGCGATCTGCCACGAACTCGATGTACTGGGTCATCAAGTCCTTGTTCATGCCGATCAAATCGCAGGACAGGGCCCCGCAGATGAACTCCCGCTCCACCTCCACTGCGCCGCGGATCATCTCGTGAACGACGTCTTCTGGAAGCTTGTGCTCCAGCATGCCGTAGAGCAAGCATGCAAAGTCCGCGTGCAGGCCCTCGTCGCGGGAGATGAGCTCGTTGGAGAAGGTCAGGCCCGGCATCAGGCCGCGCTTCTTCAGCCAGAAGAGGGCGCAGAAGGAGCCGCTAAAGAGGATGCCCTCCACGGCAGCAAAAGCCACCAAGCGCTCGGTGAAGCTGCTCTCACGGTTCATCCACTGCACAGCCCACAGAGCCTTCTGCTGAACGGCCGGCATGGTGTGGATGGCATCGAAAAGGCTGTCTTTCTCCGCAGGGTCCTTGATGTACTGCTCAATCAGGAGCGAGTACGTCTCGGAATGGATGTTCTCCATGGCGATCTGGAAGCCGTAGAATGCCCTGGCCTCAGGAATCTGCACCTCCGTGGAGAACTGCGCGGCGAGGTTCTCGAGAACGATTCCGTCAGATGCAGCAAAGAAGGCCAAGACGTGCTTCACGAAGTGCTGCTCGCCTTCGTTCATCGTCACCCAGTCCTTGTTGTCCTGCGCCAGGTCGATCTCCTCCGCCGTCCAGAAAGAAGCCTCATGCTTCTTGTACATCTCCCAGACCTGACCGTGGAACTCGCGACTCTCTCGCTTGTCAAGTTAAGACACTTTGTCGTGAGGCGAGCTAGGGAACAGACTCAGTGCCCGACTTCCGGGTGCTGCAGCGGGAACATGACCCAACGGCGAGGGTTCTCCTTGAGCAGGGGGTCGTTCTTCTCCAGCTCTTTGAACTCCTCCGAGACTCGGGTCTGCTGCGCTTTGATTGAATGGGTGTTCGTCACCTCTGTCACCTCCAACTCTCCGGCTGGGGCCATCTCTGCCTTGTATCCCTGCGAAGCCATTTCCACGGGCCAAGCAGCAAAGGACACGGGCAAAGCACGAAGCGTGGCAAATGCCTTGAGCCGAGACCCCGAAAAGTGGCAGATGATCGGCTGCCACGACACAATGCTGCCTGCGCCGACTGAAGACGATTCGGAATGATTTGGTGGATCTGGAGGAGAAAGCCGGGGATTGCTCTGACTCTCTCTCGTGCAGATTCGCGGAGCAGCCCAGGCTGGCCCCAACCTCCATCTTCCATGTCCAGCTTCCGGCTTCCCTTTGCGTCCCTTGCAAAAGGAAGATCCAGCCAGAGTTTGTTGTTTTTTTGAAGCCCCCTCTCGTCCCTACAGCGTGCCGCAGGTGAGAATGCCATGTGGGCATCCAGCCGAGTCTCAGTGTTTGTGACGGCTGCCTGGCTCCGAGCCGTCAGGGCCCAGGCTTGCAAAGCATGTTTGGCAAAGGTAATTTTGCTGGGAGCAGTGGGATTAATCATGGCGATGTTGCCGGAGGCCCCTCTGGGACCATTGCACCACACCCCCCGCACAGAGTTACGGCTTGTGGCCTGCGTTCCCTTGTGTGCGCTGCACCGAATAATCGGTCTCTAGAGCTTGCACAGCACCAAACGATGTGCTGGTTGGGTAGCCAAGGGCAAGACAGCAATACTAAGAGCTGGGCAAGCCACAGCTGCGGCCGTTGTCGAGTACTTCCTGCTCAGAAATCAACTTTGCTGACAACACTGGCATGCTGCTCCAGCTCACATGTTGTGGACAGGCCTCACAGTCGAGGCCATCTCGAACTTGACTAGTTGCAGTGCTGCTTTTCCACCACAACAGCTGCGATGAGTTTCGAAAACATGTGTGAGTGACCCGGGACTGCAGCAGCGGCCGTATCGTCACAAGGCACCCAGGTGAGCTGCCTGCTTTGCTCTGCGTGCAACCTGCCAAGCTTCCTGCTTGTCTGAACCTCGAGCTAGAGATGCTAAGCTCTCGTCTTGAGAGGATCTTCTAGCCTGCTCTTCTGATTTCTCAGAAACGACTCCAACATCTTCAAGAAGTTGACGCCCACTTTGGGACAGAGCAGCTTTGGAGGTTTTTTGTGCGGGAAAAATGGAGTCTTGCCTCAAGCACATCCCAAAGCTCATGGTTGCTAGAGAGGCTTGTCTCCTCCACTGATGTTGTGTGCCCGGGAAGACTCTAGTAAGTACTGTCCAAAGAGAAGGTGCCTTCGCAGGCATTGAAATTGAATCTGTGCCTGACCTCCCAATCTTCCACACGGAAATGCTGTATCTCATACCGGCATACCGCTAATTGATAACCGAGGAAGGAAGCGAAACTCTGCTTGCATTGTCTCAACAATATCCTGTTCATGCTCTGACAGCACCGGAATGAGCCTATCATTTTATTCTGGCAATATCGCGTGGAGTCTTGCGAAGTCTCTGCGTGGTTGTCCTTGCGTTGGCCTACTGGCAGGGCGCCGTGGTACCAGGGGGCAATGGGGCCAAAATGAGGTGGCCTGACATCTGCCCACACCCTGCTCCTGGCGCCGTGGTGGACTCTACAGCTCGTGCTCTTAGACTCTTAGACTGCAGTCGGAGATCTCAGGTTCTAGGTTCCATGATATCGTATTCGCTGTGGAGGTCCCTGTGGCACAGCGCGATGTGTTCCTCGAAAGACAAGCAGTTTTAGCTTGCCGCTTGTCATCAGAATATTCACAGCTTCAGACAGCTCGAAGGTCTCTCAAGCCGCCCTGGCCTGCTGCCTCGGTTGCGCGAGGCGGCGGCAGCAAGTGCACATCGCCAAGCCGCTCTCTTGGTGTGGCCGCTGGCACAACCAGTGCGAGGTTGCATCTACAGCAGCTGCTCAGCACAAACTTCACTGCAGCTTAGCAGCTCCTGCCGCAGCTGTGCGGCTTTGCCCTGCAAGGAAGTCCAGACCGCCCCACTCTGCAGCATCCCATGCCATGCCATGGAGGCCCCTGTGCCTGGAGCTTGGCAACAGTTTGCCTCGCCGCGTCTGCATCTTGAGCCGCCTTAGCCTGCAGCAGCCAAAGCAGCCGAAGCAGGCTCAAGCAACGTGCGGCTACTCGACTACCCCGAATCCCTGACAGCGACCTGGCTTTGCAAGGCTTGTCTCACACGCTCCTGGCTGCCAAACGCTCAGATCGTCAGATCGTTCGGGTTGCAAAGACCCAGCCGCCCTGACACCCTGGGCCGCTCCTTTGCTACCGACGCTTCAGCGAGGAGTTTGGCGGCCTGAAGGGCAAACGATGGCAAACGTCGGACCCCGACATCTACGCGCCCCGCGCCTCCTCCCCAGTGCAACTCTGTGCCTGCTGGACTGCTCTCAGCTGTGCCGCTTTTGCCTCCTCGATCAAGCGAGACATGAACTTTCCTGGCCACAGCATCTGCGATCATCCGCGATCTCTCCTCAACGAGCTGCTTCGCTGCAGCTTCTTCCTGCTGCGCCTGGACCACGAAGCCGTCTAGAATTGAAGCAAAGGGCAATCGGCGGTCGGCCTGAGCCTCAGCACTTCGGGCCTCGGAAAAACGCAGGATTCCACCCAATTCCGCTCGCTCGTTTCTTTTCCTTGTCTGGCCTTCTGGATCTCCGTCTCCAGTGCAGCAGTCTGTGCCTGGAGCAGGACGGACACAAACGGGGGGTGGGGGGGGGGGGGGGGCAGACTCGCACGAATGACAAATAAAACAGAGTCCAGCTAACTATGCTCAGAAGTGCCACGCCGACGAGGCTGGAACACTGGAACTGTCAGCCTCTGCAGCTTGCGCAGACTCCACCGCCTGTCTGCAGGCAGAGGGGAGGATCAGGACGTCTGCCCGGAGCCGAGAGGATTCCGCATAAGGTTCCGAGTGTGCCCAGCGCTAGGTTCGAAGGGAACACACCTGTACAATCGTGATGCTCGATCCTGCTTTTGCATAGTATGCTGAAATTGGCTGATGCCGTCAGGACTCCCACGGGCCTTGGCTCCAGAGGCTTGGGCATGTGCTGGGTCTTGAGGGCGTTCCTGCACCAGAAAGCAGCAAGCAGGAGTCGGGAGCTGGCCTGTCGTCTATAATCGGCTGTGGCAAAAGCTCAGCACCAGAATTGCCTGGAATGCTGCGAGATGCTTGGTCAACTCAGCCTTTTCCCTCTCCTTCTGGTGAAAGTAGGCCTGGTGCGCGGTTCTGCGCTGAATCTGTTGTAAATGAGTAGAAAAACATGTGTCGCGGCGGTTTGCTTGCGCAGTTGACAGGAAGCGTCATGGGTTGAACTTATCATAGGCTGTTGTTGATCCAATTACGTGCTTTTGGAGGTCTTCTCTACGAAGGTTGCTCGATGAACCTAGCCACTTCCTTCCGCAATCGGGTCTTTAAATTGTGCAAAAGAAAACCATGTCCAACCTCGGTTCCAGCGGCTGAAGCAACTTTCGGTATCTCAGCGAACTCTGTTCTCAGCAAACTCTGTTGCCGGGGTCGGGTTGGCCAAGCGGTGCATGATGCTGACTTTCTTGTTGCCACTTTGTTTGACCTTCCTCATTCTATGCTTGAGGCTAAATACATTCCCGCAAGTGCCTCCTAGAAGCCAAGGGTGTATGTCGATGTGGAGCCCGACTGTTCCATTCCGACCAACCCCTTGAACACACTATTCGGCACCGTGTCTTCATATCGGAAACTATGTGAGGTCTAACAACGCCGGACATCTTCGTGGACCAGCAACTGATAAGTCTGAGACGGTATCCTATGCCAGAAGGATTCACGCTCGACACCACTAAGCTTTTCTCGATGGAGAAAACCATCTTCATATGGCGAACCCTTCCCTGTTCAACCGTATTGCTGTCGGCCTCGTGTCCCTCCTGTGCTTTGAGAGAGACTCGATGTATGCAGACTTTCACACGGTACAAGTGCTCGGCCTGCATCTGCTGCACCTCGGCTGCCAGCCTGGTGTTGTCGTCCTCGCACTCTTGCAACCGATACCTGTTCGCAGGGCCCCTCTGCAGCTGACTGGGGGGCAACTCTCAGCTCAGGCCCGGGCGACAGGACTTTCTCGTTCTGGGCCTGGTCCTCCAGCATGGCAATACGGTCCTGCCAGGGTGAGTTCTCGCCTTTCCGGTTCGTCTACCGTTGCTGGCTGCTGTAAAGTGGACTCCGTGCCTTCAGATTCTTCTCATCTGCTTCCATCAGCGGAATGATCTGCTGCAGAGCCTGATGCCTGAAGCGATGATGCTCAGGGCTCGAGTACCACATGCGAGGGGCATTGCACTACGCCAATTGCACTCTGGCAGTTCCTAGGCAGCACCCTACATCAGATGCTGTCAGTGCTGCCAGGGTCCAGACCTGTCTTCTGTCCTGCTGAAATTTGCCTGACCGAAAGACATCGTCTCAATGCCAGGCTGCTGGGAGAGGCAAAAGCCACAATGAAGGCAGCACGTCTCCTGTATGCGTTGCTCACGCATGAGGGCGGCTCGCTTCTCCTGTACGGCCGACACTTTGCCGATTCCAGTGGCAAGAGCTTTCCCACAGCTCCTGCTGCAGCCTCGTCTGCTCAGTCGACAATCCTTGCAGAACGAAGCGAGCTTTCGAGCTTCGCGCAGAAAACATGCAAGCAGCACTGAGACAGCCACTGTTGGACAAGCTGAGGGCTGTGCGCTGAGAGTCAGCTTGAGCCAGCTGCAGGCGCATGGACAGCTCCTGTCAGGGCGACGTTAGTTCAGATCACGGATCTACTTCAAGCCAAACGCCGCCGTTGGCATCAGCTTGAGCAAAAACCGGCTGGACCTCCTACAACTGAGGGAAAGCTGACAACTCTTCAACCCCACCTGATTCTTGTTGTTTTGTGCGAGGAGGAGATTCTCAGCCGCTTGCACCTGCAATTTCGCACTGCTCCCTCTTGGGGGAGTCCGGAGTGATTTTCAATTCCGGTCTGCAGGTCATAGCCATCCTAAAGCTTTCGCAAACTCTTCCACAAGTGATCCTTCAAACAGCAGAGTTCAACACGGTCAGCGCAGTAGCATCCTTTTCCGTCAACTGGCTGTTGTCAAATGGTTGCACGGCAAGTTTGGGGGTGCCTTTCTGGTAAGCGCGACGATCTGGTCTTTGCACTTGAGAAGTTCAGCCTGCACCTGACTAGCACAAGTGGGCACAAAGCCAGTCATGCTCGAGTAAATTGCAAAGGCCTCGTCGTGCAGATGCAGGGCCGTCTGAAGCCTGGCGAATGTCAGGGCTCCAGGGTCAACGGATAACAGTTTGCCGTCCGACCACACGCTGAGGACGGGGCGCGGTCTGCTTTGTCTGCAAGACATTCCGAAGGTCTTGTGCCTGCCCGCTGCCATGACTGTACTCGGGTCCATCCCGAAATGAAAAGTCGGGAATGTCGGGAAAAATCCCGAGCCCAGCAGAAAGCTGCCTTGGCTGCAGCCTCCCTCCTTTCCACCTGCAAGTGTCACGGTATTATGTAAGCAAACATCGAGATGTTCAAGTGGCTTCCTGGCCTTTGGGCCTTCACTGTACTCCCGATATGGGATTGCGCAGGACGGACAAGTGGAGACGTGGGAAACTTCTCACTCCAAACACCCCAAGTGATGCAAGTGCTTCGTCTGCTTCTCGCGCGACAACAAAAACGTCGAATTCGATGCCGCCTGGCGAGTCTCCTCCAGCTCCCTGGCAGAGACAGGTCACTTACTGTTCTGGCACCCTTCTGTATCATTGTAACGGTTGCAACTCTTGTCTCAGGCTCAATATGCCGACTGTGCACGGGCGAAGACCGAAGGCAGGATACAGCCTCATACTCTGGTGCAACCGGGACGTCGCCATAGTAAGCTGGTCCAGTTTCACCTGCCACAACAGTCGCGACTCCGACTTGAGCGAAAACAGTGGTAGAAGCGGTTCTGCCTCCTTCTCCTTTGCTTCGCCTTCGAGCTGCGAAATCTTGGCGGAGTTCTTCTTCTCCACTTCCCTCGAGTTGCAAAGAACCCAGAAACATCTCTGGGGCTCTTCGACCCAGATAATTAGAACATGATTCCCTAACAGCACATGAGATGATCTTCACAGCGGAATTGCTGAAGGCGCCAAGCTGCGCTGGCGAACCCTAACTAAACCCTAAACCCTAAACCCTAAACCCTCAAGGAGAGCGGATAAATAGACATTGTATGTCCAAGCTCCAAGACTCTAAAAGGCCTCAAGTGACTAGTCGAATTGTCTGCATCTGCACCACCCCCCAACCGCTTTCAGGAATCGATGTTGCGCGCTGTCCCCTCTGCTGCAGAGCCACCTCAAGTTGCGCTCGAGCGCAGTCACTTCTTCCTTCAGCTCGTGGCAATTGTCCTCAAGTTCGCGTCAGCATCCCTCTGTGACAGTAGACTCTGCTTGCACGCTGGTCCCAAACTACGCTACGGACATGCTGTGCACCTGCGATTGTTGTGACACGGTTTGAGCAAACTCGAGCTTGTCGTTGGCATCGTCGTAGATGCTCTGTGCGGCAGGACGCAAACCAACAGCTGCATGACAGCAACATTGCAAGCTTCAACCGCACCTGCAGGGCACAAATCCGTGACTTCAGCTGGTCCTTCATGCCTGAAGCCCGATGCTTGACCATGCCGTCTGCACAGAAAACTTGAGCAAAGCCGGTCGCCCTCCTTGGCTGAGCCTATCTGAGCCTCCCGCGCATGTGGGAGCTCAGCTCTTCCTGCGATGCTTCCAGAAGCCAAGCCCTTCCTCGAACCGCCTGCACTGAAAGCCTGGAAAGTCGTCAGGGGTCCTCGAGCATCTTTTTAAATGCATCGTGGTTCCGCTGCATCTCGGATGTCATGGATTGTTGCCTGCACCACGACAGCACTCCTGAAATATAATGAAAAGTGCTGAGCGGCATGAACCGGATCAAATCCTTTTCCATCGACCCCTTGTAGCAGCAGGCGCCTTTGCATTCGCTCCTCCAACTTACCTTGAATTGTCGCCTGGCAGCGAAAATGTTGATACACTGCGGCCCTCCCGTCCTCGGACTTGCACTCAACTTGACTACTTTTTTGGACTCGTGCACGTGTTCAAGTTCAACATGTGTCCCGAAGCGTTCGCAACGCCTCCAGGCCACTCAGCAGTGGCGCACGTTGCATGGATTCTGGGTCGGCGCCTTCACGTGGGTTGGCACTCAAAATGCTTCCAAGCATGCTTCGAGTGTTGCTGGGCACAGTCCTAACGCTGGCGCCTCCACACACCTCATGAGATACTGAGGCCGCCGCGTGCGACACTCTTTTGGCGCCTCTCTCTCTCACAGGCTCTTGCACTCGATCCGAGCTGCGCGACTGCGTTTCCCAATCATACGCTACCGACGAAAGAATCACCCAGCCGCTCCCTGCACATGGCGCAAGCCTGCCCAAATACTGATGCAAGCCATCATTATTAGCCTCACGCCTCATAAGCCAAGTTGCCTTCGATACGCTGCGGTGACGGCCACGGCAGCAGCACCAAGTGCCAGTGGCGGTGCCTCAGCCACACTTGGCAAATCTTGGCAAGCTCTTGTTCCACATGCATCAGGGATAGACTCCGGCTACTGGCTTCGTGCAACTGCGGAGACTCGGAGCCCGCGGCGTTTGGGCTGAAGTCTGAAGCGCCTTCGGACTTTTTTCGCCGCTGTAAGCAGCAGACGCATCTAACAGATCGGTTCTGCTCCAGCCCATTCCAGCCCCCACGGCCAGCACCCATGCGAATTCCAACCTTGGGATTCCACCTGGACTCAACGCACGCCGTGGTGGATTGCTGCCTCTTCCACGGTTTTGGGGCCCTTGGTCCCCAGCTCCGCGGTGCCGCAACGCGGCTCCGGGCAGCCCTGCGGAAGGTTGAGCTGCTTCTCCAGGGCGGCTGCCGCGCGCAGCAGCGCCGCGTCCTCGCCGAAGGCTGCCACGAGCTGCAGGCCCACGGGCCTTCCGTCCTCCAAGAACAAGGCAGACAGGAGTCTATACCGAAACTGACCCCAAGGCCCAAGTCTGAAGCTCTGCCTCCAGAAAGCCACAGGGCAGCACCAAAGCGGGGCACAAGAAAGTCGTTACGATGCACGCCGGCATCATCCTGGGATCGCACGAACAGAGGTCGACATCACCTGTCTACAAAGACTTGCAAGGCTTACTGCGTTCGGATTAACCAGCAACTCCGAAAGCAAACCAAGTATCCAGCTCAGGTAATTCGAGAAAGTCCGGCCAAGCTGTTCGGTGGGGTAGCGCACATCCGCATCAAAAGCTGCATCCAGCGTAGCTGGTACACAAAGGACGTCGATCGATTTGAAGAGATCCTGGACCTGGGCGAACTGCTTCTTCAGGCTGTCCTCTGCTTCGCCTGTTCTGGCAGCCAGACCAAGAGTTGAAGCGATGGATGCATTCCAGATAACCTCTGGCTTGATGAGAGCTTTCATCTCCGCATCTGTCATCAAATCGGCGAATTTCTGCGCAAAGCTGTTGCCTGGAAGGAGCAGCTCACATGCACAATCGACCTCTTCAGGTTTTTTGCTACACTCCAGCATAACCGTTTTAAAAAAGCTGTTGCAATGAATGCAGACATGCTGCCACGCAATATCAAGAACACCTCCTCAGCCTTGCTGAAGTCGATGGTATCGCTTGCAACTTCTTGCACTGAAGTACCCGATGCCAGCAAGGCTGCGGCATTGCGGCACAACGCCTACAGCACTGCGTGCGAGACACGATTGCTGGCATGCAGATTACGATTTTTAGATGAAGTCGGCGATGGCCCCTCACTTAAAGACCCGAGCCTCCTAGTCCCGCCATGTCCCGCCTCGACTGTGGGGGAGTACGTGTGGCCCACCGTGGAGAAGCCGACCCTGACCTTGGCCCCCTGCTCGGCGCCAGCAATGGCGGAGGCCTCAAAAGTTTCCCCGGCAGGCAGGTTCCGTGGCACTGAAAAGTCCCATCCCTGACCGCCCTCCAGGGTGTCCAGAAAGAGCGCCGCATCTCGAACGCATCGGCCCACCGGGCCATTGATACTGTGAAGGGCCAGCAGTGGACCTGACGGCGTCGCAGTATCTCGGGGAACACGTCCGGGGGAGACCCGGAAGCCCACACATCCGCAGAAGGCGGCGGGGGTGCGAAGAGAACCTCCCAAGTCGGAGCCTGTTGCCAGCCAGCTCTGGCACCCTGCCACTGCCGAGCAGCTTCCGCCACTGCTGCCACCTGCTGTGGTTCGAATATCCCATGGAGACACCGTCGTAGGAAAGAGCGAGTTGAAGCTCTGCGAGCCGGCGCAGAACTCGGGAACATTCGTCTTTCCAATGACGATTCCGCCCCTGTCTTCAAGCTGGGTCACCAGTGCTGAGCTGTTGTCGGGGATTCGATCGGCATAGATGGGCGAGCCCTCTGTAAAACGCACTCCAGCTACGGCCTCCGAATCTTTCACCAGAACCGGCAAACCATACAGGAAGCCTGGCGGGGGATTCTCGGGGACCTGAAAACGCGCAGCATGAGCTCGGGCTCGGTCGAAGCAGGTGATGGGGGTCGTATGCAGTACTGCATCTGTTTGAGATAGCCGCCTCTCGATGACCTCGATCATCTGCAGAGGTGTGACAGATCCATCCTTCAGCAACCGCACTGCCTCGTGCGCAGACAGCAAGTGCAGAGGCTTTGCTGCCATGCTTGAGAACAATCTCCTCGGCGGCTCCTCAAGCAGTCGTATCCGCGAGAAGCGTGAAACAGTTGCAAGGCCCCATCTCATTCACGCTGGCACGGAAATCTTCTGCGAGCTAGAGTGACAGGACTCCTACTGTATGGGACTAATTTAGAACCCCATCACCACAGAGCAAGCTAGGATGCCTAACGTGTTGAAACTTTACAAACCGCAAAACGGCTGTGAATGCTCTTGCTGAATGTTGCAAGACTTCACATCGCGAACACAACCCTATTGCCGTGTCAAACCTCGGAACTTGTAACTGCAAAACAGGGAACCTTTCCACAGTGAAAAACCAACTGAGGAAGCTGCTGCATCGGAGAGGCTGGTCTTGGTGCCTACCTGCAAACGCTCGGTGTTCGGCGACGCAATGCGAAGCACAACCTTCGGTGGTGCCAGGCCTCCGGAGCTGTGCTGCGAGCAGGCAAGCCGGGACTGCCTGCTGCTGAGCAGACCCTCTTCCAGACCCTCTTCCAATGCCGGCACTCGCAGTGCGCACAGCATGCAAAAGGAATCCCATCATGGCAACTACAAGCCCCCACAACATCAACTGTCACTTCTTGCCCTAAGTTGGTCGGGTGGATGCGCCAATCGATCTATTCCATTTGCCCCGCTTGCACCCACTGACCTCTCTAGATGCCGCACACGGATTTCAGCCACTTGCCCTGATCGCACTTGCGCTAAACCCTCAAGCCCTAAACCTTTCTTTCACAGAATACTATATTATGGGTTTTCCCTCCACTGTTTAGAGTTTCGCCGAGAAGCGTGGGCCAGCGTTTCGGGCGAAACCCTGAACCGTGGGCAGCTCCGACAAGTCTGGAGTGTCTCGGGCCGAAACCCTGAACCTTCACGGCCGACGTCGGATCTCGCCCCAATTTTGCATTGTGAAGATGTTTGTGGGTTGTTTGCGGTTCGAATGCTCAACCGCCGTTTGCTACGTGGGAGCACGCAGAAGGCTTTGTCAATAGTGTTTCCATGTCAGAACAGCATTGGCGTGTGTGTCAGGATTACAAAGTGATTGCCAGACTGCCGCTAGCGGCCTTGTTCCTGGTGTCTGAGTGTACTTCAACAGGCTGACTCGCGTCAGCTAGAGATACCAAGAGTGTGTCCATGCTAACGATTTCATATCTGAGCTAATCAGCTAATGGTGCACCCTAAACCCTAAACCCTTGGAGACGGGGTGGTCAACCACTTCCGCCAGTTGGGGCAGGGGGGGTTGTGCCACTTGCAAAACCAAGATAGGCAAGCAGGGCGACCAAAACCAGTTGTTGTAGTGTGCGCTGATAATGGGAACTGTCAGCCAAGCCCGTGATGGAACGAAGCCTAAAGAAGCGACACTGCCAGAAGCTTGCATTGCAACTACTTTCTGAAGAGCTCACCAACAAGAACTCAGTCCCTTGCCGGTTGAGCTCGGCGGGACGAAAGCGAGACCAACGGTGCCTCAGCACAATGGAACCGAAGTGACACATCTTGCTGTCTTGCTGGCTCTTTAGGCAGCTCGATCTTGCACCATGCTCCAGGGTCCACTTTCCCACAAAGTGTCAACAACATCAAGTCAGAAACACATTGACGAGAAAAAAGAATCCTCAAGATTGAGATTCACGCAAGCGAGTGCTGCAACTGCAGCCGAGCGCTTCCTGCGAAACAGCTTGTTGAAACTAGCACGCCAAGCGCAAAACACCTGCGGCCCCCCTTGCAGATCATGAAGAGAGCCTCATTGTCGATGTCAACCCGAATATGGTATGTCGCCCTACTGCTTTCCACCGCTGCAGAGCCGAAGTCAGAACAGCTGCAGTCCGGGCTGGCCAAGTTCGTGTGACGCAGGGAGCAGCTGAGCATGGTAGGCATGGTGACGACCTGCTACTACCGCATACTGCTGCTTTGGAAGCCAGCTGTTTTCTGCAGGCGTCTTCGATGCCATGCTAAACCCTCGAGCTAGAGACTTCGCCTGACGTTGCTGCTTTGGTCTTAACTTGTCTGAACGACCACTCTGTTCTACGCTTCGAGGCCTACTCAACCCGACTCCGATACTTGCAGGAGTATCGCGTCCTCTTTGGGACGGGCCATAGCAGCTGGAAACGTGTCCGCGCAGAAAAAACAGAGCCACCAGGAGCAGCCACGGAGATCGTGTGCTTAAAGCGATATTGGATAATTCCTGATCGCTGTCTTGCTTGCGTTTTGTCACTCATACTTTTAATTCTGGCTGCCCAGAATGACTTGGTATGGTACCGAGAAACGTTGCATCGCCCTGCAAGGAGACTATCCCTTCCCAGACCACTGAAACAGCGGCCAGTTTGCCGCATGCCTGACATGCGGCCCCTTTGCGGTTCTCCTTAGAGGATTCTGCCACTACATTTCGGATAGAGCCTCCCCTCAGGGTGTGCGATACGACTGGACTGGAGAAGCCCAGGCAAGTCGACGGGCCACTCGCACTCTGCAAACATGCGCCACTTTGCGCTACGTGCTTACAGAGATGACAACAGTGTGTTCACAACGCGCTCGCCCGACTGTCTCGCCCGATTTCATGGCTCTTGGTCGGCGGTGCCGCCGTGGAAAACTGCAGCTCATAGCTCCCAGTCACACTGGTCTATCAAGAGTCAAATAACATCACAAGATGAGTGGACCTGTCTGCTTACATCGCTGAAGGCGCGGGCCTGTCCGCCCACGCTGTCGATGGGCTTTCAGCCGCTCAAGCCGCCTTCTGCCTCGATGCAGCGGCACGGCACACGGCACGAGAGCGTAGACGACCATCGCGCAACAAGGTCACTCCTGACTTATCTGGGCCTTGAACGCTTGACCCTTCACAGAGGGTGAAAGGTTTGCGAAATCCCAAGACCGGTGGCCGTCCACACAACGGAACGAGGTCTCACGTCGATATAAGATAGCATCATCTGTGATATCCACGCATCTCCAATGCAAATGCAGCTTTGCGACCACGGCAGCGATTGCGATGCTTTTCCCTGCCGGAGCGGACTCAAGGAACATCAGACTCCACAAACGAAGAGGACCGATTCGGCCACAATGCCTGCAGGTTGGCTGCAGCTTGTTTCGCCGCTTCTGCCTCCTGAGCTGCTTTGGCCTGGCTGGAAGAAGCGGCACCCCCCGAAGGCCCCGAAGAACCGGGCCGGGCCTGGGCCTGCATTGCTTGGCGCACGCGCTCCTGCCAACAACTCGACGTCCCCCACTGTGAAGAGTCTCTCAGATCCGTGTAACCGAGGCCGGCTTTTCCTGCGCTGCCGCCGCCTCAGCAAACAGCCCGGCGGCCTGCCAAGTGTTTGAAAACCTGTCGCATTGCCGGATGCTGTGCAACATCTCGACTCTGCCCACGCCTTCTCCGCAGTCGCACTCCGTGCATCCTCGACTGCCCTCAACTCTGCTTGCTTTGCCTCCTGGGACGAATCCAACGCTACTAGTACACATAAGGCTTTGCTTGCAAAAGCGCCCAGTTTCTGTATAGTAAACCCCAAAAAGTTGGAAACCGGATTAAGGACAAATAGTGCTGGGATTCCTTATACCTTACTCTTTTTTTTGAGGGCCTTTTTTAAGGATCGAGGCTATTGGGTTTCCAACTTTTGGGCTTCTACGGTAAATCATGTTCAGACGATCTCTGTTGGGTCTTTGGTACTGGTACAAGTCATGCGAACACTCGGAGATTCGAGATCCATTAACGTGAGGGTTTCGAAAGGCGCGTACAATAACTTTCCAAGCTCAACCACAGAAACCAGAACTGCACTACGGATGCTGCACTTCTCCCTCTCCTCGACGAGCTGCTTCGCTGCAGCGGCGTCCCGCTGTGCCTGGCGCGATGATCGGAGCGAGGCTTACGAACTTACGAGGCTCACGCAAGGCTCACCGAGCGATGCTTGTGACAGGGCACTGGCCTGAGCCTCGGCGTTTCGGGCCTCCCAACGCCGGCAAATGCAGAGAGGAAAACAGAGTCCACTCCCGATCTGGCCTTCTGGATCTCTGCCTCCAATGCAGCTCTCTGCGCCTCCGGGCTTTTATCGATCATGCGCACTTGCACGCCATGCAAAACACCCTAAAGCCGTCGGCCGAGCACACCGAGCACGAAGAACGATACAAACTGCTGCTCAGGTATCCGAAAACTGTGGCGAAGTGGCGGCCGTCATTTGCACCGACAGAAGCGCTAGGAAATGCTGAGATACTTCATTCGAAGTTTGACATGCGCACCGATCTCCGAACCTCACACAAAACTTGCCTTTACAGCTATCTTGCAAGATGGAAGCCGCTGTTGTCTAATTGACCTCGGTCGACCTGTCCCCGCGTCGGTCCAGCCTCTGCCGCGCGTGCGGACTCCTCGGCCTGTTGCAGCAGGTCTGGGACGGCCCCGGCCAGCCAGGAACGTCCCTTGAAGCCCGCCTTCGCGCCAAATTTCTGAGCCTGGACAGCTGCTTCGCGGGCGCGCTCCTGTCCCAGGCGCCGTCCCTGGAAAACGGCAACAGGACCCTTGCCGGCCTGGAACATTGCAAGATCGCTGGCCAGCTTGTTTGTCTCCCTCTCCTTCTCCTTAAAGTTGGCCTGCTCGTCCAAAAGCAGATCTGAGGAACCCCGATGGCCAGTTCAAAAGCTCTGATTGTGGTGGCAAGTGTGCACATGCCCTCAGGCCCTAAGAGGCAAAGCACCAACTCAGGCCCTCTTCGATGCGGGCAAACAGGACTCGCTGCTTTTCAAAGGAGGCAGGGCGTGCGTTGGGGCCCTCAACAGTCGTGCTTTGGTTTGTTCCCCATCCCTCATTCGCTTGCATTCCTGCTCAAAGTCTGGCAGAAGCTTCCACAGCCCTGTAGCCTCAGCGCAGACCAAAACAACAGCCCTCCTGCCCTCCAGTGCTGTGAAGATACAAGAATGTCGTAGTTGCAAACATCCAAGAAGAGGCACAGCATGGCATACTCTGGCATAGCACGAATGCCTCTACCTGGCCACCTGGCCTCCAGCTGCTGGAGCTCCTTCGCGAGTCGATCATTCTCTGCGGTCGACTCCTGTCGTTCTTGGATCGCGTAATTCTAGCACGGATATCTCATGTGCGGCCATGGCACTGAGAGCTTGGAGGTGAAGACCTGCTCGTTTTGAGCAACTTTCTCCAAGAGGTTGATGCGACGAATCAACTTCCTTGCGGTGCACAACAAGGAGCTTGCCAAGCAAGTATTTGTTGCAGGCAGCCGCTCTGCATGTTCCAAAAAGCCGAGAGGCTTGTTCTCCTCCTCCAATACCGGCAGCCGTTCCTCCATCACTTGGTTCTTGCTTTGCACCTGCCAGCTCGAACAGCAGTCCGCATAACCCTCACAGCAGTGAAGAGCTGGTGGGGCCTGTGCTAATCTCACTTCAAGATTACGCTCTCGTTGGAGAGCATCGGAGATGTCGGCCTCTGCCAGAGACACCCCAGGCCCAGGCAGTGAAGGCCAAGGGTCGTTTCGATTGAACGCTTTCCGCGCTGGTCCTCCAAGATCTTCTGCTCACTTTGCAGGCGGCTGATCTCGGTCGTGGATGCCTGACCACACCATGCAAAGAGCCGTCAGCGCTTCAGGGACAGAGGGATGCACCTGAAGTTGGCGAGACAACTCCTGCTCCTGGCGACAGCCAACACAAACGATCGCAGCAACTTTGGCGCTGTGCTGTGACCCGAGCCCCGAGAGCCTGTAACTGGGCGGATTGCAGCGCTTTCTCCAGATCCGCAACCTGACAATGACATAAGCAAATTCTGTTTCGAACAGTTTCGGGTCCTTGAAGCCTCGACTTGAGAGGCTACAAAAGCTGGAGGTGTGATAAGGGAGGCAGAGAAACTCGCTGTGTATACGCTGATAAGCTCGTACACAGGCACTCTTTGGATAATTACCGCTGGTAGGACCAATCAGGTGCATCTGCCAACCCTCAAAGTTAAGACACTGTCAAGTTATTGTGTCTCCTACTTTTGCATCCCTCATCTCCCATCGGGGACCTAAAGAGAGGGGAACCCACGTGGTCCGTACATGCGCATGCCGCTCAGTGTGGACTCCAAATTAAGTTTTTGCCGGCTATAATTTAAGGACAACTCCCACCGTTGCTCCTGAAGAGCTTTCGTCGTGCTGTGGCCTTGAGGTTCAGTGTCTGAATCTGCTGCTTGGCGAATGTCAGCTCGGCTTTGGCCTGCACTGAGGACTCCTATAATCAGTCAAGAGCCACGAAGGCTGAGACAAACTAAAGCGCCTGTTCACTGGCTTTGGTCGTAACATCGAGCCTCATGGCTTCAAGCTGTCATCAGTCCATGAAAAAAGCGCGGCAAGACCCGCTCTACTCGAGGCGCATGCTGGGCTTCGATTTGCGCCAGCTGGGTTTGCAAAGCATCCTCCTGAAAATGCTTTGGGATCTGAACTTTCTTACTCTTGGAGGCACTGAGCTAATGCAGGCTTTTGCAGTTCTATCAGGTCCTGAGCCTCAGCAGTCTCGCGCTCTGCCTTTCGAATGGAGGAGCACAGGATCTCGAAAGCATCTGAAAGCCACGCGTGACAAACCATGCGAGCCTTGACCTGCATGCCGAGTTCCCTGCAAGGGAAGATAAAAACTACACAACGGACAATCAGTGGCATTTCTCACCCCACCTGAGGCTCACCTTTAACCTCTCCTTTTCGGCTTCGAGGCGGGTGATCTGCTCCTACGCCAGGAAGCACTCCCCTCAGCAGGTCTTCGGAAACGACTTGGCCGCATCCTCTTTGTGCTTTACATCAGCTTCCAGCTCCACAGCTGTCTGGATGCTTTCAGCATCAGCTTGCCTGACAAATGTCAAAAGATTCGTGCAAGTACACCGGCGGGTCGATCGACTTGATGCCAGCAGAAACAGCCTAGTCTCAATTGCTTCCAAGCTCGCGGCGTCAGTTTTTCTTGGAGCTGAGCTATGTCTGCAAGCATTTCGTTGCGGTTAGCCTGCAGTGAAGTGCAAAGCAGGCAGACTGTCTGAGTCCAGCCCTCAGTCCCACCCGATTGCGGTTCGAGCCGTTCGAGCTCCCAAGCCCAGTCTGTCCCACACGCTGCTTGGGCAAAAGAAGGCGCGTGCTGGCCTGCATCTGTTGCTGCGCAATCTGAGACATTTCGAGCTTGTCGTTGACTTCTGTATAGATCTCCTGAGCAAGCACTGATGCGGCCCTCAGCAGGCTGACTCATCGGCAGGCACTCTCCTGCAGCACGGCGATCTGCAGTCGGAGTTCCTCACCCACTCCTTGGTCCAACGCCCGAGCGAGGATTTCGAGTGTTCGTCCTACTTGTTGAGAGTTCGATCCTTAGCCTTTCACGATGGCTGCCAGAATTATTGTGCCTCGCTAGGGTCGCAACGTCGCTCCACCTCCAACTGTTCCTGCGAAGCATGCGGCCAGCGGTGGTCATCAGGTCAGCACATGTCAGCCTGTGGACCCTGGCTTCGGCTTCGAGCTGCCGTGCGAGTTTCCGTGCGCCTCCATCTTCCTCTTCAAGTCTTCCGCTCCCTTCTCGATCTGCGCAGCTTGCACATTTCGCCTTTGCAGCGTGCTGAAGTGCCGAAGATGTGCGATCCGCTAGACCCGAGAGGAGGCCTCTGCAGCTGCTCTTGAAGTTTCCGCTCCAAGTTGGCCTGACGCAAAGACCAGCGCATGTTAAGTAGAATAGCAGTGGGAGGGGAAGAAAAAACCCTGATCCAGTTTGTCTTTCCTCTGTCGGACGTTTGAATGGCAGCTTACTGTAGACCCTCCCTGGGCCGTGGTTGCTTTGCCCCGGATTCTGCGGACAAAAACAACGAAGCTATCTTCAGCTACAAGAAGCTGAGCACTTGAGTGCAAAAACTCAAATGTGTACACAACCAGATGTATACATGATCTATCCGCCGATTCTCCGTCCACCTTTTCTTTGTCTCACTCTCTCTCCCTCTCTCTCTCTGTCTCTCTTGCTTGCTTGCTTGCTTGCTACCAGCTTCGAGGGCTTAGGGTTTATAGGGTCCTTCTCTCTCTCTTTGCTTTGCTTTGCTTTACCTGGGGTTTGAGCTGCACGCAGTCCTTGCAGCCCGCGCTGTCGCGCTACCCCATCCATCATTTTGTTGGGATGGGCTCAGCTGTATAACTGACTGGCCGCTCGGATGACGCGAAGGGAAAGGCGTGCCTCCGTGGCGGCAAGTTTTGCTACCACTTGTGTCCGTTTGAGCTTGTGCCCCTCATTAACAAAACTCAAGGACCGAAACCATCACAACACATTACAGCAAGCCTACCAAGCAAACAGATATCATCGCAACAGTTCAAGCGCCCCGAGCTATTCGGCCGTACAGAAATCGGGAAGTGGCAAAGAGCCCTTCAGCAAATCGGGTGCCTCGGGAAACAGCTTCTTCCCCAGGGCATGAGGGGTCTGTCAAACCCCCCGGCCAGTTGGCCCCCCAATTGTAATTGGGGCTTTCGGAGGGAGTAAAAAGTGATTCTTTGCAGTACTGAAGCAGTGTTTTGTGGGATAAGCGAAAAGGACACATAATTCTAAGAGATAATTCTAAGAGACAATAATTTCCCCCTTTACACTTCTCTCTCTCGCTCTCTTTCTCTCTCTCCACGAGCCATGGGGTTCGGGGCAGGTAAACCCCCTCCTCCCGCACGCGAGCGCGCAGCTGCGTTCCTTTGGCAGGAAAGGTTCCTCCTGTGGTTATTGCCACAGAAGGCTCGGCTATACAAGGAAGCCCCCCGAGGGCGGCTTTACGATGCATGGCCTTTAGAAGGAAAAGGCATCCCCCAGCTGATGAGTTCAAACACGAAAAACTGACCATGCAAGCATCAGGCAATAAGAATCCTAAGGCGGGGGCCCAGGCATCAGCTGCGGGATGTTGTTTGTTCGGGGTAGCGAGAAAAAACGTGCTGTTTCCCCCTGTTACGTATGAACAGGACCTGGCTACTTTCACGGAAGGGACAGAAGGTGAATTAAGTCTCGCAATGCTCAAACACTTCTCTCTCTCTCTCTCTCTCTACCAGTCTTGGGGGTCGGGGACGTCCCCCCCTTCCCCCGCACGCGCGCGCGCACCTGCAGTTCGAGGCAGGCTGGGAACTCTCAGTGAGGTTTCGCCCCAGCGAGCTCTGCTGTACAAGCCTTTGGCCTGGCATGAGTACCCCCTCGAAAACAAGCAGACTGCAACATGAAAACACAGCAATACATGCTACTTTCCCCCTTCATGCCATGCCTGTGCTGCAACCGTCCGAAAACTCTCTCTCTCTCTCGCTCTCTTCCTCCTTCGGGTGTAAGGGGCCCCCCATTGTTTGGGGTTTTTGGAGGAAAACAACAGTCGGCTCGGGAAAACCTACATCACTCTTGGGTTGACCCCACGTACCAGTAAACCCGACTTCTCTCTCTCTCTCGCTCTCTCTCTCTCTCCCTTTGCTTTGCTTTGCTTTGCTTTGCTTTGCTTTGCTTTGCTTTGCTAGGGGTAAGAGGACGTGGCAGTCCCACCCCCTCGCGCTCCAGGGCGCATCCCCATCCAGAATTTTCGCGTGATGGGCTCGGCTGTGCTAGTACGCGGCTGTGTGGCCATAGTGAAAGCGGGCGTGTGCCTCCGTGGGGGCAAGTAAACACATAGCTACAAACCAACAGCGAAACAAGTACATCACTTGGTGCCCCGGCAGAAACTCGTCTGGTTGGAAAGCTGATCCCAAGAGCTTTCGGGGGAAAAACATGCCCGAATTAACAGCCCTCCACTGTTATGTTGGGTCAGGCACACCGCTTGTTTGGTTCACGGAGTGCAAGTATCAAGTGCCCCCTGAAAGCGAATCCCACATGGCTCCCTAACTTTTCAAGCGGGTGCCTCAAGTTGTAACAGTTGGATCGAATTCGTCGAATGGTACACGGATAGAACTTAGCTCTAGGCTTTTGGTTCACTGAAGTCTCTGTAGCACTTGCTTGCAAAGGTGGTGCCGCCTTAGTTGGTCTTGTCCATCTGGATCGCTGTCTTTATGATCTTCTGTGAGAGTCCCTCGTGTTGCTGCCTCCCCCCCTTCTGCCCAGTGTGTTGCCGAGGTCGTTCGCTCGGCTCGGCTTTGACGTGGTCCTCGTGCGAGCCGGTCATGTAGTCTGCGCTGGGGTAACTTGTCTTGTCTTGCTGCGGTGGGACAACTGTTCGAGGATGCCCTTGGTGCCCTTCTCCCATGCATGGGTCCCCGCCACTTCCACGAGGAGTTTTCGAACTGCTCCTCCTTGCGCCGTGCTGCCGTGCAGGACGCAATCTGCCGCCAACCTGTCGTGCCCGTGGTGCTTGCCTCCTTGGCCTTTGGGTCCTCCGGTCATGCACCTTGGGCAGGGGCGTATGCCCCCTATCATCAGAGGCTGTTGTTCCTCGGTCTTTTTTGTTCTCTCCACCTTTGATGGTGGATCCCTCTCTGATTGCCCAAAGTCGCGCATGGGAGAAAAGATCGTTCTCTCGGATTCGCTGGGGCATACTATGGTCTGCTTAGAATTACGGAAGTGAGGCAGTCTGAGGCAGTCTGAGGCAGTAAAGCTGCTGTTGCTGTGTGGTTTGCTGCTGGCTTGCGACAACGCTAAGCTACGGATGCTCATGCGGTGCGCCCGTGCTATGAGAGGATCAGGAACTCCTACAGCAGGGTGAAGCCAGCACGTTCGCTGAGCTCGTGAGAAAGATGAACCCCTGCTGGCAACATGACGAACGCTTCCAAGCACTCTTACGCTTCCTCGACGACTCCCGCACCACGGTCTCCTACATGCCTCAGTTCAGCCAGAGCGATACCACTTCCGGGACATCATCACCTAGCAAAAATGACCCGAAAACACAACCCAAACGCAATAGAAACCAAGGGAAACATTGCCGATGAAGTCATTGTCATCGTCCCTTCTAGCACCGCCAAGGTTGGCAGAAATAGCTCGGTAGTGAGCGGTCGGCATCTAGAACTGGCTCCAGCGCGGCCAGCCTCGCCGCAGGAATGCAAGCCTTTGGGCACGGCTGATCCTTTCGGCGATGGAATCGAGACTCTCGCCTTTGTCGCCGCCCTCCCCCACATCCTCCTTATCCGAATCCTCCTCATTTGCGCCGGCTAGCATGGCCTTCGCCTCCCCCTCCTCCTCCGCACGGCACTCCTCACTGCCACTGCTGTCCGCCAAGCTCGAATCCTTAAGCTCGTGGTCACAGCTATGGTCATCACAGTGGTCTTCCAGGTCCATGGTGGCCTCCTCTGCCACCGCAAGCAAGCAAGCAAGCTGCGCCGGCTAGCATGGCCTTCGCCTCCTCCTCCTCCGCAACCGACTCCTCCTCATCTGCGACGGCTAGCATGGCCTTTGCCTCCTCCTCCCCTTCCTTTGCGCCGGCTAGCATGGCTTTCGCCTCCTCCTCCTCCGCAACCAGCTCCTCCTCATCTGCGCCGGCAGCATGGCAGCATGGCCTTCGCCTCCTCCTCCGCAAGCAAGCAAGCAAGCAAGCAAGCAAGCAAGCAACTCCTCCTCATTTGCGCCGGCTAGCATGGCCTTCGCCTCCTCCTCCTCCTCCTCCTCCTGCTCCCCCGCAAGGCACTCCTCACTGCCACTGCTGTCCGCCAAGCTCGAATCCTCCTCTTCTGCTTCTTCATCCTCCGCCTCGTCTGAAAACTCGTCGTCCGATCTCCATGTCACCACCTGCCCGTCTTTCACGGCAACGAAGCGGACAAAGCCATGCGCAGCCGCTCCAGAGCTTGCCACAAAAATTGGGGCCCATGTGATGACGCAGCCATCCGCTCCTTGAGCCAAAATGGCTACGGGTCTCTTCTTCTGCACAGCCAAGAGAAGGTGGATCACCACCCCCTCTGCACGCGGGCCCTGGTCCTTCCCGTCCAAGTAAGAAGAAGTATGATGTGAGGAGACCGCTGACCATCCCCCAACCTGAAACCTATGAACCCCCTGAACCCCCCGGCCTTTGCACGTCTGAGGCTGCTACAGGTGCCGGCCCTTTGCTTGCAGCTTATTGCTGGTCCCAGTTACTTGCTCTTACAGGCAAGGTGACTACGTAACGGGGTACAGTCGGCAGGTTGCACTGGAAAAGTAGGCCAACACACGGAAGGCTGTCTCTTCTTCAACGCAGACAAAAAAAAAAGCGGAGCGCCCTCCCCTGCACGCGCACGGGCCGTCCACCGTTGTCTGGGCAAAACTGCTCATCCAGATGAGGTCCCACTGTTCTCGAACTGTGCAGCCCTACCTTACCCTAAGTTAAATGACCCCCGGGCCTGTTCTGACAGCCGGCTACCGGCTCTGTATCGCGTACTCGCACTTTGTTGCAAGCACACTACCCTCATGCTCTGTGCCCCCACATAGGGAAGGTTGTCTTTCTTTCCTCAGGGTTATGGGCTAGGGGAACCCCCCTAACCCGCGCGCTGTCGCGCCCCCAACCGTTTTGGAGGGGCGGCAGAGACACAACTACACCACCGAGGCACCTGAATGTATCATCGACAAGGCTCACAACAACAATGGAAATATAGGCAAACAGGTAGTTGAATGTCAAAAGTGGCCTCTTCTTGGGTCTCGCAACATGCCGACTTATGGTATCAAGAACAGTGCACAGCCATGACGAAGCGCCCTTGGGTCCTCTCTCTCACTCTCTCTGGCCCCGGTACGCCCAGGCCTCCATTCCATCAAAGAGTCCATACATGGCAACAG